GAAGATGTAACAGTTTTCTGTCTCTGCTGCTCTTCGTGTTTCATTCTCTCTCTTGTGATTATGAGAAAAATGAACCCGTGAGTGACTCAAGGTGACTCAGACCACCTCTCCTCTCTCGTCCCTCCTGAGATGTGGCTTCAGTCAAAGCGGGATAAGGTACAGTTCACGCCGAGTCCAAGCGCTCGATGCAGAGCGGTGATTCGTCTCGCTGCAGATCTGGAACTGAGCGCAATGATACCGTCTGGTTTGAAATGCTGCTTTAAGTTGGAGCTGAAAGCCTGTTGAAAAGCACTCTGGTGGTTTATTCACTGTTTTTTTCCCCCCTGCTTGTTATCAGAGGCAGATATGTTTCAGCTCCCTCCGCTTTACTCGTCTTTTATTCTCAAAAAGACCACAAAAGATGTTCTGTTCTTATTATTTGCAGTCAAACGTCTGAGTTTATTTGACTTTACAGACACAGATGAACAATATTGAGGAGAAGTCTTTCAGATGTTTTCTTCACACACACACACACACACACACACACACACACACATATATTTCTGTGTGTGTGTTAGAGTCCCTGTGTTCTCGCCCGGGTGGTCCCTTCGATCCTCTGGCCTGGCTCTCCTCCATCTGCAGGGGAGCAGAGCAGCAGAGCTCTCCCAGCTCTCCCCCCCCTCCCTGCAGCTCCTGCACATCTGCTGTCCCCAGATGTAGGTGTGAAAACAGGGAACTCACTCAGCCTCCATCTGCCCTCCTCACACATGCCAACACCCCCAGAGAGAGCCCCCAGAGAGTTTATTTAAGGACTCGGGAGTAAGACTGCTCACCTTTTTGTTTTGTTTTTATCATGAAATTTAATAATTTACAGTTTTGAATGCATCACAGTCAGACCAAGCGGCAACCTCCGGTGTTTAGAAAATTAAATGCTAAAGTGTAAAATCCTGCAGTTCCTCGAGTGTCCACTAGAGGCTGGCTGCAGAAGCAGAGAAAATCACATACACACCCATTCTAAAAAGCCTGTTTTTCCAGCAGAAATTAACATGTTTACAGCCTGGTTAAAAAAAAAACAAATATGTTTCTGATTAGCTCATGTCTCCATCACACACTGCACGGGGGGGGGGGGGATAGCTCACCTGATTGACAGGCGGGCGCGGTGTAACGGTTTGTCAGGAGGCTTAAAACCCGCCTCAGCTCTCAGCCTGGCATTAGGTTGACTGATCGCGTTGTGGCTTCCTCAGGTTAGCTCTGAGGAAGCTTACCCGGATGTGCCTCCAACACTTCAAACCCTCCTAGCCCTTCAAACCGTCTCCATCTCTCTGAACACACAGGAGCAGGAGTGCAGGAGGTTCAACATAAGCACTGAATTTGTTGGTGGCAGCAATGCTTCATTTACTTCATTACTACCGTATTTTCCGCGCTATAAGGCGCACCGGATTATAAGACGCACTGTCGTTTTTTGAGAAAATTAAAGGCTTTTAAGTGCGCCTTATAGTGCGGAAAATACGGTATTTTCAGCTCTTAATTAGTTTGACAAAAACTTCAAATAAAATCTTGTATTCGTTGATTAGAGTGTGTATAAAAACAGGTTAAGCTATTTTCCTCCTCAGCTCAGCAAGTTTCAGCACTTTCACTGCTGCTGCCATCGTCGACAGACTGAGCGTGCAAATGTGTGTGTGTGTGTGTGTGTGTGTGTGTGTGTGTGCGCGTGTGTGTGTGCGTGTGTGTGTGTACCAACACTGCATAGGAATTTGGGCTGACGTGTTATAGAGGATGAACAGACTTCTTTTCTTTCTCTCTTTCACCCTGTCAGCTTTTGCGTCACCTCCTGCTGTTTATAATGAGACTGTCCTATATACTGACTGTGTGTGTGCGTGCATGCGAGTTATAGTGTTCACGCTACACAACTGAATGGCAGGGAAGTGGATCATATTAAAGTCAGGGAGGAAAATGAGTCTTTAAGTGTGTGTGTGTGTGTGTGTGTGTGTGGCGATCTTTTCTCAGCTAACTGTGATGATGTCATTGTCAGTGTGTTTTCACAGTCGATGAAAGCTGCTGTTTTGTGAGAAGGATGTAAAGGAGTCAACAGTTTTCTGGGAACGCAGAATGTAGTTCGATGGATGAGAAGGGCTTTTTCTGCATCTTCGTCCCCATATCTCGTCCGTCATTCTGTCTCCGACCTGCGAATTGATCTCAGTGAACCATCTTGTCGGATGTCTCAATTCAAAAAATCCGTCTTGAGGATAGAGGAGGAGGCTTGTTGAAGGAAATGTGAGAGAGGATGCACGGGTGTGTCCTTTGCAAAGTTTTCTTTTTACGCATGCATTAATATACTTTTTTTAACATTGAAATAGTCATGAACACTGTTCTGCTCATTCCACTGAAATAATAGAATATAGTGCACGTCATATTTAGATGATGTGACTTGAAGAAGGCAGCAGAAGCAGAGAAGTTTCCTTACAGCATGTGAACGCATCGGCGGCTATTGCATGGTTCTCCTGGGGTGGGGGGTAATTTCTCAGTTTCAGATGGACTGGACGGATACATAAGTTTCTTAGCTTGATGCTAAAACATACTGGAAAATGAGAATTTTACCGAGGAAACTCAACACCATGCACACTCATACTTACAGGCATATGTTTCCTAAACTCTGGAGACAAACTTTAAAAAAAAACTGCTGACTCATGCTCTGCTGCTCTGACGAATCCTTATAAACAAACTGCGTTCATTATGTCTCCAAAAATATCTCCTTTCTCCTCGTGTTACTTCCTCATCTCCTGTGCTCTCATCTCGGGGTTGAAAGGACTCAAGGAGAGGAGGCAAGGAAAGGGAAGGAGGATGCAGAGAGTGAGAACACCTGAGATGAGTTCGTCTGATGTAGCCAGTCAGAGTGGTTAAGGTAATAAGGTGACTTACTTTAAAGGAAGAATATGCAACTTTTAGCATATTCTTCCTTTAATGTTCCTGCAGATTTTTGTTTTGGCTCCAGTAACGTAAATCCGGGAAAAAGTGGGTTAAACCCGTCCGACCGCTGCTCATGTTCGAGTCCATGTTGTCTTCTTAATGAGCATAAGCAGTGATGAAGACGATAAAGACTTCCTCCTCTGATAAATCCTCCTCTCTTAATGTAATCCAATCAACGTAAACTGCAGGAGATTAACCAAAAAAAAAAAAACAAAGAACAGAAAAAGGAGTCACAGATTTTTGGGCTTTAATCTGAGGGATTTTCTTTGATGTCATCTCTGAGCAAATCTCGACGCGTTAAGCCGGAAACAGCTGTGCAGCATCATGTCCACGATCACCTGTGTGGTCCCGCTCTGAATGCAACCAGGGACTCTGTGTTCTTGTTTTTGAAAGAGTGACAACCAACAGAGGAAGTTTATCCCTCATGTAATGACAGACCTCTGTTTTCATATGCCTGAGCCCTCGTTACAGGTTTACAGAGGTGATACAAATCCAGCCTGTTGAAATGAGGGGACAGAACCTGGTAGACAACAGACATAGACGGGAGAGGGACTAAATGACAGGGATCAATAGTTTAAGATGGAAAGATACAGGAAATGTAGATTTATGTGTGCTATCAGCATGTCAGCACCAAGTCTAGTCTAGCAAATAAGTGCTAAAATATCAGGGCCTGTGTCCACCTGGCGTTTCTCCTGGAGTGTCGGTTTCTGTTCAGTTGTTCCCGATGAGCAGAAGAGCGTATGCGTAGCATCAGACGAGTGTTCATAAAAAAAATGCACAGCGGCCAGAATCCTTTATTCCGAGGGCTTCGCCTTTTGAGTGAGGCCGCTCCGAGCGCTTCTCGTTGAACATCTTCCAGATGTTGAGAAGGCCGCTGTTGACGTCACTGTCGCTCTTTTTAAAATTATTTTATTGGATATTCCCCTGTATTTTGTCTCATTTCATACATTTAATATTCTTTGAGGAATATTTCATAAAATGTATAAAAAAAAAAAAAAACAAACGTACTGTCTGGATTAGTTTAGGTGACTTAAGCGGGGTACACACTACAAGATAATCGGGCCGATTTTGGGTCTGATTCCCCCCTTCCGACCAAAGTCAGCAAAGGCCCGGCTATGTGATGTTCCAAAGATTATCTTGCCAGATTCTCCTGTGGTGTGAGGTGTGAGTGATTTTAACCTCCCCGATCTGCCCGGAAGACGATCGGGGGCGTCCCCAATTTGAAATCGTAAATATTAAACTCTGTGAATTGTCACGTGGAACGGAACAATAGCCAATAGGGAAGCAAGCTGACTGAAGCGGGAAGCCCAACAAACATTACCATGGCGACAAAAGCATTTGCTAAGCATAAAGTTAAATGGATGTGATAAATTCAGGGCCAACTTGTTGATTTGTGACAACAACACGAGCTGATAACTTTACGAGCTGTAATGTTGGACATTTTAACGTGGGGCTCTGTGAGGACTGACTCGCTGCAGGAGACAGACTCTAGTGGACACTGGAGGAACTGCGTTTTTTTGGGCACTTCTGCATCGGCTTGATTTGGTAGCCCGCGAGTTTTCTGCCTGAGGGAGCATGATTAGGGGAGAAAGACAAAAGAAAGAAGGGAAAGGGGGAAGACAGGAAGTGACACTGAGGCTGAGAAAAAAGAAGAGAGAGAGAGAGAGAGAGGGAGAGAGAGAGTTTATCAGTTCTCTTCTGTTCTGCAGTCTCTTTCACACAGTCCACTCTGCCGAGGACTCAACTGGATACAGAAGATTGCACAGTTCCTGACTTGCTTGTTTGAGGAGGATTTTTGTTCATTTGTTTGTTTGTTTGTTTGTTTTTACCCGCAACTACTTTTTCTGATCTCACATCACATGATGCTGAAGTTCAGCGTCACTCACCGCTCCAGGTGTGTTGATGAGTCGCCTGCTGTGGTGTGATCATCAGGATTTCACTTTGTTCTGTCTCCATATTTTCAGCTCTCCGTCTATTTCACGTCTCAGCAGTGATATAAAGCTCTCTGCTTTATTGTCTTTTCTAATCTCGTCCTCTTCTCTCTTTCTCTGCAGCCACAATGAGCGGAAGGTGACCTGTAAGCACCCGGTGTCAGGCGTCCCCTCCCAAGACAACTGCATCTTTGTCGTAAATGAACAGTAAGTCTCTCTGCACGCCGACACACCCGCTCAGCATTGTGTACCGCTGATTTCTGCACTGATTACAAAGGTTGCTTATTCCCTGACACACTGCTGCGGCTGTACGCCGCAGCTGTGTCATTGTGTGGATTTACTGTATGAGTCTTTATGTGGAGACTCGCCAATATACCAGACCAGACAAGAAGCAGGAAAAACAGAAGCAGGAGGAGTCAGTCTATTGGGCGTTCATGGTTCCCAAAGTAAATGTCCCTTTATTGAACGCTCGCTTAGCATTTGACTTAGCATCGATCTCAACTTCTACAGTCACTTTAATATTTGTTTTTTTTTTAGTCACATTTTGGACACAATGTGTTATAAATGTCATCTTACTTCTTCTACCGTCATTATTGTGTCATTGTCTGAGTCATCGCATCTAGAGGGTATTAAAGGTGCAATATGTAACTCTGACACCTCGTGTTTAAAATGGGTACTGTAGTTCAGTTTCAAAACACTGTAGAGATCTGTCTCCCCCCGCCCCCTCCTCTCTAGAGTCGAGGTTCACACAGGTCGCCATGTGGTGGACTCTGAAGCTTCAGTGTTTAGCCAGCTCTGCATCGGTCTGTAAACCTTTCTGCGTTCTAACCTCTCTCCATTTTTTAAAAGCATCTCCAACATTGATCCTAGTTTATTAGTTATAAAGTAGTTATATAGTTATTAGAAACATGCAGAGGCTTTTTAGGTCTTTTTCATAGTTCTAGGAACTGTTGGAAACCTCCCCCTTTTTTATCGATTCCCCACTCAGGAACTATGAACTAATTAAGTTTAGAGGAACCTTTTAAGCTCCTGCTTCAGAGTAGGGACTTTTTGAGCGCTAGAGGGACTTACAGACCGAAGTGAACGGTGATTGGTCGACCACAAGAGCCAATCCAGAACCAACAACCTCCATTTTTAAATATCACTGTAAACATTTGCGAATAACAGTAAATAATAGTCGGTAAAAGCTCTTAAAATCATTAAAAAGGGGGGGGGAATGGACATCGACATTCGGGCTTATGTAACGCTGGAAGTACAACACGATTTTGACTCATCAAAGCGGAATATAAAAATATTTTAAAGTATTTCCTGCCAGCTTGCTACATTGGGTTCATCATATAGTGAAGCGGTGCCGTGAGAAGATGAAGAATCGGAAACAAGACTACAAAAAATGAATTGCCATGAGCCAACTTTTGTCACTTTCATCAGTCGTCACCATGGCGATGTGAATGCAGACAGAAAGAAAGTACCTATGGTGTGTAGTTCTCAGGGAACTCTCGAGAGGATAGCTCAGGAACTTTTTGTAGACCGCTTTATGTGTGGTCCAGATGTAGAAAGATCTACTTCTTTGTTTCCTGTGAGGTTCTTGTTCTGGATTCAGCTGCAGACTGACACGTCTGTTGGACATCGTTGCCTAGTTACTGACTGCGTTTGTGAGGTTTTCTGTCAGACGGTAAATCCTTCCTGATCCTGTTGCTGTTGAATGTTCGAGTCTGATTCACTGAGGATGTTTTAATCTGTGAATGCCATCACTGATTAGTCGCTCATCCATCCTCAAATGTTTCTTCTATCATGCATCTCTCTGTGCCGCTCTGTCTGTATCACTGCAGCTCTGTTCGGTTTGTTTACAGCCGCCACGCAACAAACTCACAACCCAAAACAGAAGAACTCTATGAATGTTTGTTTCTTTTCCTCGATCCCAGCTGTCAGAATGACTGACAGCCGAGCTCTCTCTACACGCCGGCTCCAAAATGGGATCCATTCTGTGGTCCACACACACACACTCTCGACTCCCGTGGTGAGAAAGTAGAAAACAACAAAAAGTCAGGACGACGGCGAAATGAAATTTAGGACCCGAGCTTCTGAAACAGACAAACAAACTGCAGCAATTACACGCTCCACCTCCAATAAAGTGGTCAGGACAGTGTTTCAATCCTCCTCGTCTCTGAGCTGTGAGGCCGAGATACAGACCACACACACACACACACACACACACACACACACACACACACACACACACACACACATTTTACCACTCTCTGTTTTACTGCTAACACGTTCAGCAGGGCTGCACTCTCTGTGGCAGTGTCTTCTCTTTCACACACTCTCTCCCTCACTTTCACACACCTCATTCATCTCCCATCCCAATTATCTCCTCTGTCACACAGCTCATGTGAGGGAGGTGTGTGTGTGTGTGTGTGTGTGTGTGTGTGTGTGTGTGTGTGTGTGTGTGTGTGTGTGTGTGTGTGTGTGTGTGTGTGTGTGTGTGTGTGTGTGTGTGTGTGTGTGTGTGTGTGTGTGTGTGTGTGTGTGTGTGTGTGTGTGTGTGTGTGTGTGTGTGTGTGTGTGTGTGTGTGTGTGTGTGTGTGTGTGTGTGTTAGTTATGTAAATGAGGTTTGTATTTTTAAACTTGTTGAGCTGAGATTAGGTGAGAGAGCTTCGGCTGTTTAACTGCAGTGAAGCTGTTAATGACAGTTTCACCTCTTTCCGCCCTGACTGGTGTGAAGATGACGTCTGAAAGTGAAATGTCTTTGCTTTAAAGTTTAATCAAAGTAGACACACGCACACGCACACACACATAAAGGCCTTCGGCTGCTGATTATTTCTCAAGCTTTAGTGGATCTTGTGATCTTCATAAAACTAAAAAAAAATGAAATGTTCTTCTGGAAACAACTTGAAGGGTTTCCAGCCCTGCACAAACAAGGAGGTAAAAACTGTCGTTCCATAAATGTTTTCTATTTTCAAAAAGCAGTCGAAGACAAAAACTCAGGACTAAGCAGGATTGTTAGCTAACAGGTCATCAAACTGGGACCTGGTAGGCCTACTGATCCTAGCTAACAGGTCATCAAACTGGGACCTGGTACTGATCCTAGCTAACTGGTCATCAAACTGGGACCTGGTAGGCCTACTGATCCTAGCTAACAGGTCATCAAACTGGGACCTGGTACTGATCCCAGCTAACAGGTCATCAAACTGGGACCTGGTACTGATCCCAGCTAACAGGTCATCAAACTGGGACCTGGTACTGATCCTAGCTAACAGGTCATCAAACTGGGACCTGGTACTGATCCCAGCTAACAGGTCATCAAACTGGGACCTGGTACTGATCCTAGCTAACAGGTCATCAAACTGGGACCTGGTACTGATCCCAGCTAACAGGTCATCAAACTGGGACCTGGTACTGATCCTAGCTAACAGGTCATCAGACTGGGACCTGGTACTGATCCTAGCTAACAGGTCGTCAGACTGGGACCTGGTACTGATCCTAGCTTACAGGTCATCAAACTGGGACCTGGTACTGATCCTTGCTAACACTTCCAGTTCACACAGTAATCCAGGGATATGCACCTGAATGTCTGTGATTGGCCAACGTGATGTGTTGCAGCAAAAGTTGACGCTGTTTCATGTCCATGAGGAGCTGCAGTTTTTACGTTGGCTACCATGTTTACATTCATCATGGTGCTGTGTTTGGTGGCTTGTACGGCGCTCCCTGCCTCTGCCAGAAGTGGGGCCCTTTTAATGAACTGGTGAGGAGTTCTTCTGTGCCCTCTGCTTTGGAAACCTGCAGCACACACACGCTGCCTTTGTCTATAAAGGAGTCTTAGTGCCGCATGAGCCCTCAAGCCTGTTCACTTCGTCTCCCTTCCTCTCAAACTTTTAAATGAATATGAAAATAAATGAGCAGAAGCCCTGAGCCTCCCCGTCGGCCTCAGGATGTTCTTCTCAGTCTGAGAGAACTCCTCAGATTTTCCCTGAACACAACAGAGGTGATTCAAACGACCATCGAGGAGCTGCTGAAAACACACTCGGTTCAGTCTCAGCGGCTCCTGGATGCGACTGCACAGGGAATAATCACACTTTTATGACCAAGGAGTTTCTTTTTTTTTAGGTGTGTGCAGTGTGTTTGAAATACAGGGACAATTTTCTCTCAGGTGCATTTATAAAAACAGACATTAAAGCATCTTTTTATTAGTCAGCCTCTTGCAAAGCGCCATCTATATCAACAGATTTCATCTTAGATTAAAATCTCTATTGTTGCATTTTTAGATGCCATGATATAAGTATTAGATTCGTTGAGAAATATATCAAACCCGTTAGCCACATCCAAGGCCAAATTGAGTAAGCCAGCTGTGATAAATCAGTTTTTGCTCCTCCAGCATTGAAGAGAATTTAATATGATGCCAAAAGACAAGTAAAGATGTTGGAGTTAGAGTTTTTTAAAGTAAGCAGTGGGAGTCTTTGCTCAGCTTTTGCTCTGTTGGTTTTCATGGCACAAACATCATATCAAAACATGTCCACAAAACAGAACTAGAAAAACACATGAAATCCATGTTTACAGATGTTCTCAGAGCCCTGATGCAATCACTCGCAATCAGACGAGCCACTCCAGTACTTCTTGCAAAATGCTCAGCGTCCATTTATCTGACCCGGGCTCCTCACGGTGAAAATCGATGGCAGGTATTCCTCCAACGAGCCGGCCTGTCCTCTGGCACTCAGCCGCACATTCAGTGATTTCCAGTAATCCCCCTTCAGCTTCTTTACAGCAGAAAAAGCTTCACTGAGAATCAGCAGAGCATTGTTTTCCTCACATTGATGCTGCTGTGAATATTGTACAGAGGGTTAATACAGTCTTAATGTCAAACTTAAGTTGACAACAAACATCTTTGTTGTTGAATGAAAATGAAAATCTGGGAAGATGATCAACACAATGTTGGCCCGAAGGCAAGTTAATACCGACAGGACTCAACGTATCATTCCATGTGGACATGACAGTGTTTGGGTTCTCAGTCATCCAGGTCATAGCAAATCAAATCTTGATCCAAAGGCAACTGGACTTGGTTACTTGAAGATGTTTCGCCTCTATCCTCTTCTGAAAGGCTTCTTCAGTTTTTACCAAACTGGTCGACAAAGCTTGAAATTTAAGCCTCTGAAGAAGCCTTTCAGAGGAGGAGAAGTGAAAAGTCTTCATGATCTTCAACCAAGTCCGAAGAGGGACTAATCGGACTGAACACCGGTGAAAGGAGGTTCCCACTTAACAGCCCCGCTGATTACGAAGCGACTGGTGATCAGATTTGAAAAGGAAATCAGAGAGCATTTTCCTCATGTATCACACATGTTGGTCCTCTTGTAAACGTCCCCGTGTGAACACAGACCAAACTTGAGGTAATTACGCAACAATGTGACTAATTGGTCGATGAGTCAGACCAGAGCAAACGATCTAGAGGTGTGAAAATCTGGTTATCACGATTAATTCCCTGGTTTTTATATTTTTAATAACACCTTGACATTATTTTTACTGAGCTGTAAAGCGTTTGGTTATTTCCTCTCTCCATTGTTGACCGTCTCCTGCCGCATCATCAGTCTGTCACAGATGAATTCTCTCCTCCTGCTCTGCCTCAGGCTCTTCAGTTAAATTCATCTCTCTTTGCAGATCCTCCCCCATTCACTCATCACTCACCGAGGAGAAGTTTAAATGAAGACTTTTATAAAAACACATGCAGAAAGTTTCTTTCGGCCCCCTGAGGGAAGTTTCCCTCCTCTCATCTCATCAGGGTGTTCTGTTCTCCTCTGCAGCTCCTGCTTTTATTAATGACTGTCTGCTCTCCTCTTTCCTCCTGCTTTGTGATATTTTCATCTCGCTAATATCTTGTTCTGTTCGTCTCCCTGGTGTTTAGTTAAAGCTCTCTGCTCTCTCCATCCTCACAAGTTAAGAACGAGGAGGAGGAGGTTTAAAAGAAGTGTGGAGCTCATCTGGCTCGGCTCAGACTGCTTCCAACGCTCGGCCCTTTCTCTGTCTCTCTTCCTGCTTCCTCCATCTGTCTCCTCGATTAATTATTTACACATCACGCTCTGATGTCTGATTGTTTAAACAACAGAAAGATATGGCCGAAAAATGATAACAGACAGACCCACAAGAAGGACTGAAATCAGAAAGAAAGAGTGACAAAGGGGCTCTCTCTCTCGTGGTGATGGCGGGCTGATGGGCCGGTCAAAGCCATGTCGGGGAGTCGCTGATGGAAAAATAGCCCGGGTTTAAATTAATAATCGGATCGCCTGGAGCGAGACACGGCTAGATTGATATTTGGAAGAACAAAGACGTCTGGGTTCAACAACCAAAGCTTCCTGTTTTCCGGTCATGTGAGACCGCTGAGAAATGGAGACGATCACGAGAGCAAATCTCAATGACAACTATCGCCGGATTTATTTATACATCAGTAAACGTGCAGAAAGAAGAAACGATATTTCAGTTACAGAGTGATGCTTAGTATTTGACCTTTTGTTTTTGTTCAGCCCAATCATGTCCTGTGAGGGACTTTCAGTTTGTGTTGATATTAGCGCCCCCTTTAGTTTGTGTTGATATTAGCGCCCCCTTTAGTTTGTGTTGATGTTAGCGTCCCCTTTAGTTTGTGTTGACGTTAGCGTCCCCTTTAGTATGTGTTGATATTAGCGTCCCCTTTAGTTTATGTTGATATTAGCGTCCCCTTTAGTTTGTGTTGATATTGGCGCCCTCTTTGGACAAATCAAGACATCTTGTCTCTTTGCTATTTCGTCCTGTGGATGTAAACTTTTGTAAACTGACACTTCTCTTGAAGACTCGTCTTTTTTTTTACCTTTTGACCTTCACAGACTTCATATTAACTCGACTTAAACTGCTGTAACATGTGAGAGACGACCCCGTGTTATCTTTTCGACGATGCATGACCTTTCATTTACACAAACAGCGCAAAGATATTTCAGTAGAGTATATGTTAAGAAGTTTTCTCAATGTTTTGATTTCTGTCATGATTTATTTCACGTTGCTTTGACTTCTTATTATTTTGTGGTTCTCTCCCTCCTTTGTTCTGTTTCCAGCATGAGTTGTGGAAAGCTTGTCCACCCTGACAAGCCCACAGAGGCTCTCGACAGGTAAAGATCCCTCACACCGCTGGACAAGCTGCTTCAGCTTTAACGCTTTGAATACTCACGTTTGCTTTTGTCAGACACTAAAACCTCACGTAGCTGCATGGATGTGTCGCTCACAGCGAGTCCCTTCGTTTGAGGAAGTTCACTTGTTTGCCGTCTTGAATCCTCTTTTGAAGTAACCTAGGTTTGTAGTGTGTTTGTTCGGACATTAAATTGATTATTTAAGGTCACATATTCTGTAAAATCCACTTCTCCGTGTTCGTCTAACTCTAATATGTGTCTCTAGTCTGTCTACAAACCTCCAATGATGACAAAAGTCCATCCTCTCCGTCTTTTGCCTGCTCCACTTTTCAGAAAATGTGTGCTCAAACAGGCCGTTTGGAGATTTTCCCTTCATGACATCACAAAGGGCAGTAGCCCCTCCCCCAGGTGGGTGACACTCCTACAGCTAGGTGTTTGTTCTGCCCTCTGAGTCTGCCTTCTCACCGTAAACAATAGGACATGGAGCGAGAAAGCCTGAGTACACCCAAGCCCTTCCAGAGAGGGGGCGTGGTCAGACACAGCTCATCTACATTTAAAGGTACAGACACAGGTATCCATATCGTTTGACCTTTTACTAAATTCATAACAAAGTTTTACAATTCTGGTAACCAGGACAACTCTAACTCCTGTTTATGACGCTTAACTAGCTTAACGTATTCTAGACAAACAGACATGATCTTGATCCTTTATGTCACCCTGAAAGACGGCAAACAAGTCGTTCTGTTTCTTGAATGTAATCAGATCTAGTTTCCCCCCCGCTTTTCTAGCGCTGAGTAACATGACGATCGCACATGTCAGGACGCCTCCTCCAGCTCCGCCTTCATCTTTAATTCACAGCTTCATTCCTCTGTGTGAGAATTGCTGTATTCTTGTTTCTGCCTCTCGCTAACACTAACTTTATTTCACACTCTGCGTGAGTTGTGTGATGAGCCGCCGTGCTACACTAATGCCGAGATGATATTGTGGATGATTGATGTGTTGTGTCTGCGGCGTGGGAAAGGGAGCGTTCGCTCTCTGAGTAATAACTCTGTGTTGGGTTTAATAGGAAGTACCTCTTTTTTTGTTTCCTTCTGATCAAATTAAATTCGCTTTTTTCCTTCGGCGTTGGCTTTTATTACCTCTGAAATGAAGAAATGAAATCAGATGTCAGGCTGCCTCTGCAGCTATGCAGACGAGCGGGCGACGGGTTCTGTCTCCCAGCTAAAGCTTTGAACTGTCTCATACTTAAGTGTGACTCCAACAAAGAAACCTGAGAAATATACCTTAAGTCATTCTCACAACCAACAAAACACGGTTCCTCCCGAGTGATCGTGTCCTTTATTTGCCCTCGACTACAGGAACAGGCATGTACATTAGTAGTATAAATTGGAGAGGCATACATCCACATGTTAGCCCAAAGGTGACCAATCGTGACAGATTTATTGTCCAATCACAAGAGATTTCTCTGTTGAAACGTCTGTGGTTTCGTCCAGTTAATTACAGGCATTCGAGGGGAGAAGCCCCCAGCCTGTCCATACATGTGTGGTGGTGACTGTGTCTGCAGAGACTCTGTCCTCTGACTGGATTTTACTGTTCTGGTTTGTTCTGGTTGACTCGGGACGTTTCTGGGCAGAGCTGGTGTGTTTCCTCCAGCCAATGACAGCGCAGCAGGTGAGTTTAGGAGAGGATACAATTCAGTGATTGGACGCCATTCAAACCGGTGAATATGACGGACGTGGACGTAGCAGCAAAGAAGAGAAAATATAATCACAGTGAGGAGAAACACCAAGTGGATAAAGCTCGTTCTAAAACGAGGGTGAACCTTGTGTTGTCTTTTACCCGTAGACGTGGAGTTGTTCGGCTTCCTGTTGGACAGGCAGGTGACAAACACCGGCGGTTAGCTTGTGCTAGCGTGCGTTAGCTTGCAGTGTAGGTACAAGCAGTAAACATACACACTACGTCCTGCAGAGAGGGTGAGCTTCTAGAGGAGGAGGGGCCCAGTTTGAATGTTGTGTTTACAAACTGCAATGGAAAAAAAATGTCAGGGACTCCAACTTTGAGAAACTTTATTTGATTAAAACCACACAGAGAATCAAATCAATCTGTCACTCAAACCTTTATTTATCCGTGAAAGGACATTGAGGTTTCCCTCCTTTCCAATGCCGTCGCGGTCGCAAGCACATTTAAAACAAGCACAGAAACAACAACTTTTATAATCAATTACAAAGACAAAAGCAATCAATTAAAACACGACTGGAAACAAAGCGGCTACAAATCAGAATCCTGAAATCTGAAAGAGAGTGAAGAACTCCAATCTTCAGAGGTTGCTGGAGGGCGCTCCACGAGTTTGGGACATCAAAAGAAAATTTACCCAATTTAGTGAAAGCTCGAGGGACTTCAAGAACGTGCCAATCAGAAGAGAGGGTCATGTAGGTGCCTGAAGTCCACTCCAGCAGGTCTCTTATGTAAGGTGTTTGCTGCCGACCGACTGTCTCATACAGGTCACAGCGCTGAGTGCCCGATCCCTCACCAGTTATAAATCTGAGGGCGGAGTGATGGACAGCGTCCAGAGGCTTTAGATGTATCACACAGAGCTGAGTCATCCCCAACATCACATCATCACATTCAGAGAATATAAACATGGACGCTCACAGTGCGGAGGAAGCCAAACCGCAAACAAACGGATCGGGGGGAAAGACTACATTATAACAGAGCTCTCTGCCACTGTTTAGATGTCTGAGTTACAACAATCCCACGCCAAACGCTTTCATCAGAGAAAATGAGAACAAACAGGAAAAGAGACAAGTTGATGGCGGGGAGGTTAAGAAAGGATCCGGTTAACGTGAGAGTGAGAGATGAAAAAGCAGACGAGATGAGACAGCGGGGAAACAGGAAGACAGGGAAACACGGATTGGCTGGGCGATCAGTGGATGATTCTTGATTTGCGTGTGCGTGTGCGTGTGTTAGTCAGCCTACTTCAGATGTAGGGCTCTCGTTACTGGAGGCGAGGGAAGGCCTTCTCTCTCACTCTCAGTCAATTGGCCGGCGATTCAGTGTCACTGACAGAGCCACGAAATGGGAGCAATTTCACAACATCCGCCTCTGGCAACAATACCGCTCTGTGTTCTAACGGCTAAATGCCTTCATTGTCACACACACTCACACACACACGCGCACACACACACACACACACACACACACACACACACACACACACACACACTCTTGGGAGTTTTTGTGAATGTTGCCATCTCAGCTGAAAATCACTTCCTAATCATTTGATTCCCGCTCTGCATTCTTGAGCTTATCCAGTGAAGTCAGGAAGGTTTCCAGGGTGCTTTTGGCAGACTGGCATTTCTGCACCCACGTCCAGGTTTTCTTAGACATTTGAATATCTCAGAAACACTGAAATAAAATATAATGCACCACGGTCAATATAACGTCAGTGTAGCACATAGCATTTGCCGTTTTGGTTGCACTTCCAGTGAATGAGGTTTTAATCTTCGGTGATGTTTCTTCAACTTCAAATACTCTGACAGGAAGTCGAGACAAGGAAACGCAAAGAGCATCCGGTCAATTTCAAAATAAAACACAGTATACAGACTCCTGATCGTATATTCCAACACTTCTTAAACAACAAGTCAACAAACTTAGAGGCGCCAATTAGCATAACCCTAATGTCTTTAGACTGTTGGAGGACGCCAGAGTTTCCAAGAGAGAGCCAGGCAGGCACAGGGAGCACGCCGAAACCTTCCAACGACGATCCCGGATCTGCAAAACTTTCTTTAGAAAAGGAAAACGTTGAATACTGAGTGCAAGACAATCCGAAAGCTAGAAAGTAGTGGATGCAAGAAATCCAAAAACAATGACGCTTCTTTCGACTTTGAACCTCCCGCTGTGATACGTTCTCCCCCGGACGGACCAGTTAGAAGACGTGTTCCTGATGTGAGCAGGAGACGTGTGACTTTGAGCTTTTATGCATTCAGTTAGATTTTGATATGAAGCTCTGTGAAATCCCCCATTAAAGAAGAACCAAAGCTTTAATTAGAACAACAGAGCGGGGGAACAGCAAGACAAAATGAGAAAGGTCTCTGAAGCACTCTAAAAGGCGTACTTAGCCTGTAAGTGTGTTTACAAAACTTTAATTCACCTCTGCAGATCCCTTAGCTAATATCCACCCTCCATTTACAGCTGTGCATCAAGTGCAACAAGACAACACACCCACAAGTGTTGTCATCCAAACTCAGGGATGGATTACTGCAGGGAGCATCCAGAACCTTCTATTATCAAAATAAATAAATAAATATAATTCTCACTGCACATAACCTTTACTACTTTACAGACTTCCTAAATCCACTTTTAGTATTCCACCACTAGGGGGCTCTGAATCAGAAAAATTAAAGATGACGTCGAGGCTGGTGGGGAATCATGGGAGTGATTCCCTCCATTATCCCCCAACCTTCCGTTGAAAACTCCGAAGTTGACTGTAGTCATGACGACCAGGTGAAATCGACCCTGAGGAAGAGAATATGTTTACAGACGAGTTAATGTATCCGAGTACTTTGCCGTAACATCCGGTGTTTCCACGGCAACGATAAACACGTCATGTCTGTCTTGGCAGTATCTGCTTCTCGGGAGGTCATCTCCAGCTTTAAAAAGTACTCGTATCATTGTCTGTTTCTATTTGATGCGTACGTTTATCCAACCTTTCATTTTCAGAGTTTGATGTTTTTCCCTTCGCCTTCAGCGAGCTGAAAGTCGCTGAGTCGGCTGAAATACAGCAGAGTTGATTATCACAGCTGCCAAAGTCGAGAATGTAGAAGAGCTGCTGCAGGGCGTTGAAATGGTCGACATGCCAATTACTCTCCTCGTGGCGTGCCGATCTGATGAAGTTACAGTTTCCTTTAGTACGTGGTAAATTATGGGTGATAAAGTGTGCTTCTATTTCAGAGCGGTGCTGTGCAGGATAAAATATGATACAGTACAGGGATGATGTTTCACTGAGAGTTATTATGAAGAAGAGATAAAGAAGTCTTTGCGTTTGTCGACCTGCAACAGAGCGGCGTTTCTGATCAGCAGCACTCGACGTGTGATGCGATCTAAAAGATTTGGACACACGCTGAGGAAACGCGGGTGTTCATAAGTTCTGGTGAAAGTTCAGGCAAAAACAAATGTCCCTGACAAGTTCATCCAGACTTTAAAACACACCTTTACACGTCTTTACAAACTAGAGCTCATGAAAGTTGGACGCCGTTTGTTGTGATCTGATCTCCCCTCCTATTGGACACGCGGAGGTGATGTGAGAGAGCGCTGTGCCAGAGTTGAAAGTGTTTTTTTCTCATTTTTGCAAGAACGGCAATCAGGACCCCTGCACACCCACGTACTATCTGAAAGGCCCTTAAGGAATAATATATTGAATGCCCTGGTCGGAGCCTGCAGGTGCATGCTGGGATTGAACGTAGGAGCTCTTTTTTTTTTGGTATTGTGGTCTGGGAGCAGCGCAGGAAACAACAGAGCAGAGGGAGACAACAGGAGTCTTGCAGCTTAAATAGACCAACACACTGTGTGGATGTATTGGCAGGTGATTGTGGAGAATGCCTCCATGTAACACGTAGCTTTTAGTCATTTCTTATTGTGTAAAAAATTTGGGCAAGCGATAATTTTAGAGGGGAACCCTCCCGGGCTGACTCCAGGAGTATCCAAAGAAAGTCGTGCATAGTTAGAAATACAAATTGTCTAAAGTGGTCGACATTGAAATCCTTGTTTTGTGAGTTATTAAAGCTGCATGAAATCATTTCCTGTCCACTCGGGGAGTAGAATTCTGCAACAAGCTAAAAACATCATCTGACAATCAAACACTGTTTTGTTTATTTCTTTCAGATCAAAAACCGTTTTCATGTTAATGCAATCAGCAGAAAACAGCTACAACATGAATCTCAGTTCAATATGAGCTTCCTTTTTTTTTTAGCTCGGTGGCTCTCTGTAGCTGTTGGATGCTGCAGATCAAAGTTGTATTTCTTGAACTGCAGATTTGATGATTCTTCCCGGAGGATGCATCACTACGGATGACTTTAAAATCATAAAGTGAGATCTCTGTTAAGATGCACCAGCACAGACAGTCTTCAGTATCACCTGGGGGGGGACTGGCAGCAGCCTCACCTCTGCAGAAGTCATAATAAAACCAGGTGTGCTGTGTGCCGTTAACAACAAGGTGGACAAAGAGTTTCTTTGACCTGAGAAGCTTCTGCTCTTCTGTTCCGCTGACCTCGGGGAGCAGAGATAAAGCTGTCACCGTGAGGAAGTTTTAATCAGACTCTCAAACCTTGAACTTTCTTCTCCTCACATTAGCTGTTGTCCTTCTCCCAGATGGAGGGGCAAAAACTTTGAGCCGGTTCAATTTGTCAGGCCGAGCTGGCAGGCCATTTAAATTGCTTGGACTTGGAGGCATACATCAGAGGTGACACCCGGAGAATAATGGCTGTGATTCATGCGTCCAACTCTCTTCCTTCACATTCTCACTTTCTTTATCTCTTCCTCTCCGGCTCTCGTCTCTGTTACCTCCCTCTCTCATTCACACCACGCCACCCTGCCTCTCCATCTCAGCGTCCCTCGCTTTAATGACCCTAACAGAGATATCGTGTCATTAAGACAGAGAAGATAGGGTCTGCTTGATGAGATAGCGGGGTTGGGCTAATTGGCTGGTTGGATTGTTGTGGAGACAAATTCTGCCTTTGGGATTACCGAATCCTCTCCGTCATCTTGGAGGGACAATCAGTTAAGATACAGCAAGCGGCGTCGCTCCCACCTGCACACATCCACCAATTATTCTGACTGAATGAACTCATTTGACCAAGGGCACGTTCACCTCCCGCGGTCCATCACACTTTGCAGTGTTTACGTCTTCTTTGTTTTATCCCAGAATTCTGTGAATCTTCAAGTGTACAAAGTCTGAAATTCACTGAAAGGTGACGCGTCATGTAGCCAGCATAAAGCAGGTAACATACTACAAGATCATTTTGTTCCTGATTCTCCTTTTCCAACAAAACCTTTTTTTTATGGTTCTAAATCTCTTTTCTTGACAGACTTTCCTGTGGAGTGAGGTGTGTTTAGAGTGATTTTACTTCCCAGTGGCCAGTTGTTAAAAATCAAATCATAAATATGAAACCATATTTAAAATAATGAAATACCAAGGATGGCAACAGGGAAGCAAGCTGACTGAAGAGAGAGAGAGAGAGAGAGAGAGAGAGAGAAAGAGAAGAGGCTTGATTACAGAGTAAAAGCAGTTTTGTTCACAGGTGAGCTGAGCTTGACGAGGTGGGCGTGGCCGGCAGACATTTAGCTTGATACTATTTTGTAATATGGGGTTGTTTTTTTTGACTGAAGTGATTGTGCAGTCTGAACTTTCCACGTCTGCAGCAGTGATTTGGTGGCACTTAAGCCTGACTCTGATTAACCCGACCTCTCACCTGGCAGGGGGGGAAATGACTCGTCTGCAAAAGCAAAGAAACCTAAGTCAGGTCATTTGTTTTGCTCCTGGGCTGCAGAAACAGTGTCGTTATTGAGATGGTATCGGGTTAAAGCCATGAATCTCCTCTGTTTCTACTTTGGTTTGAAAGACCACACACACCACTTCTCACTTTCCAAGATGTCCACTTGTAATTTATTGATTTATAAACTTTTCTTGTCTCTCCAGCTTTGACACTCGTTTTTTTTTATTAATGGCAAATCAATGATCGGAAGAAAGAGACTTATGAAGAAGGAGAAATATGTGTTGTTTAAAGTCACACTTTGTTCTTGACCTTTTGAGAACATTGACACGGCAGTAATTGTTGAAGGAGATGGATGTTGACTTCTGACTGTCAGCTTCTCCTCCCGCTCGGGGCGATGCACTGAAGTGTCAAAACACAACCTGGACTGACCGGACTGTGATTTTCTACTCGCTGACCACCTTCTTTACCCACCTGCTGCTCTTTATTTGTCAACTTCTGTCACCCTTAAAAGTGTTGCATGGTTTACACTTAGTGTCACATCAAAGGCTAAATGCTAAGCTAACTCCCTCTCTCCTTCTCTCTCTATGTCTCTCGCCCTGTCGCAGGCCGGCTCCGAAGGCGTCGTCAGAGCAGGGCAGCAGCAGTGACAAGAAGGAACGTCCCATGAGCACCATGAGCGAAGCATCAAACTACACAGGTGGCTCCGACTACAGCACCTTCCCCGGCAGCCCCACCACCGCCGTCACCACGGGAACCACCACCACCACCTGCACGTCATCTACACGGGTCAGTCTCCGTCCAAACACGTCTGAAACTTTGACGTGGTCAGTGTCGATTCTTGAGTCTGTCGGGGCCCTGGGTGAAAATTCATTGGGGGCCCCTCCAACCAGCGTTCATCCCCGTTAAGTCTGCCACCGTCCAGACGATTACTCCTCCTCTTCTTTTTTCCAATTTCCTTTTACTCTCCCACACAGATAACTCCTCTTCTTTTTCACAGCAGTAATGCATTCAGTGAAGCTTTGCCGGGCATGGAGGGAGGGCTGTCAGGTGGGGCCCCCTTAGGGAGGTTTCCTACAGTCTTTGCAACAAAGAGAGTCTTTCAATGTATTTCAAAAATGAAATATCATAGCAGCTATTGGATTTTTTGAAATGCTCCACAGAAATTTAGATTTAGATTTGAAGTATTTGTGACCTGAGAAAAATGATTCAAATTGCAAATGAGTGTTTCTAATGCGTCAAACTTTTCCTTTAAATCAGTGAACTAGGAATTCAAGTCTAAAGGAAGAAGCGAGCTAGCGAGAATAAAAATGGTGGACCTGCTCAAAAGTTTTGCTCTAGCCTGGGGGTGGAGTCCATGGGTGGAGATACCAGGGGAGGGGAGGGGATTCTTTTACCAGAAGCCCACTGTGACATCACAAGGAGAGCACATTTGAAACGGAGCATTTTTCTCTGTGTTGTAAGCCTTATGCAGACCTCAAACAAAGGACTGGATGGGTTTATTTCACATTTTGTGGGTGGGTAGACACTCAGGTTACCCAAATATATGTTCAAAAAACACTGTAGAAGTGTTCATAATATGTCCCCTTTAAAGTGTGAGTGCAGCCATTAACAACCCTGAAAGAGATGATTTGTTGTTCCCATGATGCTCTGCTGGAGGTCAACCTGAGTTCATTAATAACGTCAAGTCGTCCATGACTCCCAGTGATCAGTGGCTGTCCTGGAAAGCGTCCATGTTGTGTCAGTTTGTCTCATCTCGGAGTGAAGAAGGCGGAGTTGAAAGCAGGCTCACAGTGAGTGTGTCGCGTACGCAGGTCACTGCACTGAGCGATCCAACGGAAACGTCACAAACACACAAAGTAAACGTGCATGAGTCGATCAAACCAGAAGTGCTGTGCTCTCATGAATAAGTGAAGGCTCTACTATTATTACTTCTGCTTACACCGACCAAAGGAAAGGGTTACACTTCATATCTTCATGTATTCATGAGAAGTCATTATTTATAACCCCGCTGTACGAGTCCTGCACCGTGCTCCGCCTGACAAACATCCCACAGAGAGAGGCGATGGATGAAGGAGCCTTTGAGGAAAAAAGGTCAAAGCAGAGCTGAAGAAGTTTGTATTTTGCAGCGTTAATAAGTTAAAATGCCAAACAGTGACAACATGCAAAGAAGCTCTGCTGCAGAAGAAGCGTGCGCTGAACTGAAGGACTTCAAACTCTTACAAGATGAAGATTTTTAGGAATGTGTGTTTCAGTTAGAAATCTTTGGGACGTCTCAATTAGCCTGGCCTAAAAGGAGACAAAAAATAAAAATGGGGAGTTTGCAAATCTTTTTTTCCAAGATTCCAGATGAAGTACGGTAGTTTTGAAGTCAAGACCACAGTAACCGAGACTGAGACATACCAGAGACCAGAGTGCTTAGAGGCCGAGACATTTAGGGATCAAAACCGACACCAAGACCGGGGCAGAGTGAGTCCCAGTCAAAACCAAGATTGCAACCCGAGGTAACGCCCTGGGTCTCAATGATCCGCCTTAATTCCATCAAAATGTGTCCATTAGTTTCTGCAAGCCTTCATAAATTTCCTTGTTGAAGAGGTTTTTCTTCTTTGGAATATGAAACTGAACAATGATCCTCTGATGTGAATGCATGTCGCCTGCAGACATTCAGACTGGATTAGTTTCCTCAAACGATTTGTTGTCACCTGTAATTTATCCTGTTTGTCTTAAATTTAGACTTAAAGATCGTCTTCCGCCCTCCGGCTTGTTGCCTGAAATAAAGCAGATTTTCATGCTGCAGCGCTGCGTTGTTTTTTTTGTTTTTTTTTCAATAAGTGAGCTGTGATGTATGGGGGGATGTGAAATATGTCTTTTGTTTAATGAGCTGCAAACATCTGCCTCTCTCTCTCTCGCTGCTTTTTATAGCCGCTGTTTTAGTATACGAGCATCTTTACAAGTAATGCACCAAACACATGTCACGTCGTGTTCGAGATGAGGAGGGAAAAGATGGTATTCTGGGTTCTTTTTCCTCTGTGGAGTTCTCCCTGCTGGGTTCCCTCTGTAGGAAACACAAGACAGAATCACGAGCACGTTTGGATTTTGTTTTTTTTCCACAAAGTTTAGCAAATATGTTGTGCTGTTGATGTGCGTGTGTTTGAATACCTGTAATGTGAATGTTTCCTCAGCAGTGCTTCCTGTTTTGTGTGTTCACAGCCCTCCAGGTCTTCCAAAAAAATCCACAACTTTGGAAAGAGGTCCAACTCCATCAAGAGGAACCCCAATGCTCCGGTGGTGAAGAGCAACTGGCTTTACAAACAGGTACGGCTGGACGGCGGTTTCACTTCTCAGATTAAAGATTACTGGATGTGTTTGAGTGTTTATGGGGCCAGCACTGAGCAGAGGAGGGAATGAATACTGTCACTAAAGATATCAAAGAGGAATAATGCACACGGACATACCAACAGTTTACAGAAAGTATCATTATATGTATTTTATATCGCGGCTGAACGTCGGTGGCAGAGTTTGCAAGTTAGCTCCCCCAGAAAATGAACATTTCCAGACAAAGCTTTACTTTTTCACATCTGCTGTGAATAAAAACATCACTGACCCTCGTTCTTCAAGCACAATGCTTTAATGTGATCGTAATCAAAAGGCCACTGATGCACCATGCCGATGTGCTCCTTTTCTGCCTCGCTCTTGCCCTGGTGAAAAACCACATCCCCACCGCGGTGCACGCTGGTCCTCTACCTGCATACCTTCCTTCATCACCTCAGGTTACACACAGTGTTGCACGATTACCAAAAGAAAACAGCGATTATGCACTACTAAATATAATAAGATATTTCATCCAGGGATGTGAGAGGTTGTGAAGTTGTTAAGATTCCTCTGCTCTTTGCTAATTCTCCCAACAAACACAGACCGCAGGAGGTTCGTATAAAGTTTTCTAGTCTCGTAATATTTTGGACCTCTGCAGCTTCTGTTGTTTTTGAAACATTGCGTCCCGCTGCTGCCTGCTGAACTGGAGGAAATTGGAGGATCCAGTTCCTGCTGTGGACTTTGACATAACGTTCGCTAACCTAGCTTGAGGCTCAGCTTGTTCGCTCATTACCTTTCCACCCACTCGCTGCAAGTTGAGCAATTTTCTTCACCCTGCAGAGATCTGCTGTAGCTCAATATTTCAACCTCTGACCGCGGAACGGCTCCCTGAAGACGGCCTCATCGAGCAGCGTTCAACTCAGCTTTTAGACCTCGATTACAGCCGCTGTCAATAACCTCCGTCTCAGCCTCGGCCCCTGCGTCGCCGCTCAATCGATTCACTTCACACCAGCTCTACCGCGGCCTCCTCCCCACAGACCTGTCAGGCAAAGTGCTCGCTCACAGAAGAAATGTCATCAGTGTTTACCCCGAGCTCGAGGTCTGTGGACGGACGAGACACTTTGCAAACAGAGGGGGGAAAAAAAAGAACCCAAAGTGAGGGAACCGTCTGAAAAAAACGTGTTATTGTCGCTGCAGTCATTACGAGACCAAAGAGGGAGGGGAGAAAGACAAGAACGAGGGAAGCAGCGTGCAGAACAAAGCCCAAGCCTTCGCCTCGAGCACCACAGACGCAAATTTGTCAGCGCGCTCTGAAGAGATAAAACACAGCAATTTGTCTCAGAGGAGGAGATAGAAGCTGGTTAATAGAAGCAGCCGCAGGGAGAAACAGTGAGGGGATCAAGAGGAAGGAAGTGAGGGGGGATCAAAAAAGAGAGGAATTACTTGTTTTGTGTGTGAGAGAGTGAGATTGTGTGTGTGTGTGTGTGTGTGTGTGTGTGTGTGTGTGTGTGTGTGTGTGTGTGTGTGTGTGTGTGTGTGTGTGTGTGTGTGTGTGTGTGTGTGTGTGTGTGTGTGTGTGTGTGTGTGTGTGTGTGTGTGTGTGTGTGTGTGTGTGTGTGTGTGTGTGTGTGAGTGTGTGAGTGAGTGAGTGAGTGAGTGAGTGAGTGAGTGAGTGAGTGAGTGAGTGAGTGAGTGAGTGAGTGAGTGAGTGAGTGAGTGAGTGAGTGAGTGAGTGAGTGAGTGAGTGAGTGAGTGAGTGAGTGAGTGAGTGAGTGAGTGAGTGAGTGAGTGAGTGAGTGAGTGAGTGAGTGAGTGAGTGAGTGAGTGAGTGAGTGAGTGAGTGAGTGAGTGAGTGAGTGAGTGAGTGAGTGAGTGAGTGAGTGAGTGAGTGAGTGAGTGAGTGAGAGAGAGTGTGTGTGTGTGTAATAATTACTCTTCTTTGACTGAATGCCTGATGATCTGTGACGTTTGCCCCCTGCAGGACAGCACAGGCATGAAGCTGTGGAAGAAGAGGTGGTTTGTTCTCTGTGACATGTGCCTCTTCTACTACAGAGGTGAGGACGCACACACACACACACACACACACACACCAATCGAGAATATTGCTCCGTCTAGGTGAGGAGTGAAGCCTCAGGTAAAGACTTTCTTGTACACGAGTGAGGGTAAGATGGACCATGAGATCGACAGTTGAATTGTTGCAGCGTCAGCAGTAATGGGGGCGTTGAACCCGACCATCGTTGTGAAGAGGGAGCTGTAGATATTGGAGGAGTTTTGGGAGGAGACCCCCGGTTTCTGGAGGGATTATATATCCCTGTTGGTCTGTGAACGCCTCAGAATCCCCCATTAGGAGCTGGAAATGGAGCTGGAAGAAGGACATATCGGGCATTTTGCTTAGCCTGCTCGTGTTATCATCAGCCCTCGTGCCTCAGTGTTCATTGCACGACTGATCATTTCAAAATCATTCCCACAATTTAGAAATCATGTTGAAATCAGCCTGAAATGAAACAGTGTACATCCGGCTTATCAGATTACTTTCAGCAGCCGTTTGGTTTGAACAAAAAGGAAACGAGCCGTAAAGAGAGTCGAGTCTTTCTTTGAATCATTTCCACAACTGGCAGTTTGTGAATCTTTAATACACACGAGAACAAGATAAATAAATCTGTTCCCTTTTCTTCATACACAGTCACACGATGGAAAAAAAAAAAAAAAAAGAATTAAAAAAAAGATGAATGGTTCTTGGAAAAGAGCATAGCTTTAAAATCCGTCTCCCTTCTAAGAGCTGTTATTCCCCTCACGAGCGACCGGCGCAGCGTGATGAAAAAAAGCCGTTTGGGCGAGAGGAACAGCCGCCTTAAAGGAGGATTACTGCTCAGAGAATGTGTCTGTGATTACTGTGATTACAGCTCATTCTCAACAAACTTCTCAGCAAATTAATAAAACACACATGAAGGAGCTTTGAAACCGACGTCGGCAGTTCTTCTGCAGCTACTGAAGAACGAGAGACTTTGAGACGTTTGGTCTCAACTCTCATAAAACACCGACTACATCACCTTCAATTCTGTGGAGGGCCGAGAGCCTCGTGGAAGGTGGCGAGCATGGAGCATATTCAGACACTGGCGCGCTTTGATATTAAGCTGTTTCTATCGCTTCATCAGGAGCCGTGTTTCAGATCACATCAGGGTTCTTCTGGAGCCGTGTTTCAGATCACATCAGGGTTCTTCTGGAGCCGTGTTTCAGATCACATCAGGGTTCTTAGGGAGCCGTGTTTCAGGTCACATCAGGGTTCTTAGGGAGCCGTGTTTCAGATCACATCAGGGCTCTTAGGGAGCCGTGTTTCAGGTCACATCAGGGTTCTTCTGGAGCCATGTTTCAGGTCACATCAGGGTTCTTAGGGAGCCGTGTTTCAGATCACATCAGGGCTCTTAGGGAGCCGTGTTTCAGGTCACATCAGGGTTCTTCTGGAGCCGTGTTTCAGATCACATCAGGGTTCTTAGGGAGCCGTGTTTCAGGTCACATCAGGGTTCATCAGTAGCCGTGTTTCAGATCACATCAGGGTTCTTCAGGAGCTGTGTTTCAGGTCACATCAGGGTTCTTCAGGAGCTGTGTTTCAGGTCACATCAGGGTTCTTCAGGGTCAAGTGGCCTGACAGTTGAAGTGTTTCGTCCTTGTTTTCACTCCCGCTCTGCAGCACCGCTCGTTTAAAACTTTATGTTCACCAAATCTCATCTCTTCCTCCTCCGTGTCTCCTAAACCCTTTTTTTTCTTCTATCTCCATAAATTGACAAATTAGCCGCTCCCAGAGCGCAATCAGCGGCTGCTTTCATGACAAACCCGAGGGAAAATTGGATGTTTATTGGCTTATACAGCCGGAGACGAGAGAGAGAGAGAGAGAGGAGGCCTCCTCAGGAAGGACAATGACGTGCTCGGCTTTCCAATAATAACCTCTTCTTTTTCCATTTCTCCTGCTCTATCTCGTTTTTTCTTAGCGCCTCCTGTCACTCAGGTGGGAGGTGTCTGCAGAGTTTGGAGTTTCACATCCTTCTTTTTCTTTTCTTTTTTATAAGCAGCCAAGATAAGAAATCCTCCTACTGAGAATCGTATCCATACGCGCTAAGTCAGCGTGTTCACATGCTGTCTCATAATTCCATTATCACCACAGAGGAACACTAATGATAACAGCTGCCATGTAAACACAGGCTGTGTATGCAGAAAGACAACTAGATAAACAGAGTCCAGCAGAAGAAGCATGCAAGAAAAGTTCTTGATGACATTTTCTTCAAGTAAATAAAGAAAACTTGTTCAGTTGCAAACACTTACACAAAGCCTCAGACAACGTCTCTGTGGAGAAATAGTTGCTGTCTTATAAATATTGTAAATATTTCCAGGGGAGGGCAGACAGCTAGGTTGTGGGCTCTGTCAGCAGTATTCAGGAGAAAGCTTTGCCCCTATGCATTCATTCTCGTGTTGGTTGTGTTTTAGGGTAGGAACAAACAGTCCATGGAGAACATTTTTGATTTTTGCTAGTTTCGCGAAAAACTTAATAACTAACAGACCCAAAAATGCTCACTCAAGGCAGGATGCAATAAAAGGGCAGAGTTTATTAAACAGTCCAGGTCGGTGCAGAGGTAATCCAAAAACAGAGAAGCAAACAAATCCAGGAGGGGCGGGCAAAATTCAAGAAGACAGGCAATGATAAAAGTAGAATAAACTCAGGGGATAACGAGACACAGTTGAGCACGATCAGGGCAGGAAAACATGAAGAGCAGGATCCGACAATACTACTAAAATAAATGGGCAGAAACAAAACATGCCCTGAGGAAACTTGACGGGTTGTGTCAATAACTGGAGACACGGGTTATTATGATGTCCAACAGGAATATTACTTTGTGGGCGCAGATGTTTCTCTTGAAATAACTTTTATGAAAAAGGTTTGGATCTGATATTTCGGGTGCACAAGAAGAAAAGGTGAGGATCCTTGCGGCCGAAATGGATTTCTTTTATCCCAGTGAGCATTCTCCGTTCTATTACGTGTGTTAGTTTTGTTTAGTTGTTTGTGTTGAGAGCTCCTCTGATCAAACAGAAGTTTCCGCTGCCTCCTCAAAACCTGCTGCAGATTTCTGAAACGTCAGCTGTTCTGAGGAAGGACCGCCTCGCGCTGCAGTGTATACCAACAGCCTCTCTCCTCCTCGCCGCTTTTCCGAGCGTGTTCTGTGTCTCAATAATTCAGGAGCAAGGATGGAGCCGGAGGAGCTGCGGGGCTCACAGCGCTCCGGCTCGGCTAAAGCAAACAGCAGCGCTGACTCGGGGGCTCTGTAGGTTTATATGCAGCTGGTGCACCACACGTGTTCCTGCCTGCACGGTGCTGCCTGCAGCTTGGAGGCTAGCTGCATCAGAGCTCCGAGCATGGACGAATGAAGCAGTCAGAACCGTCCCAGTATGATGCCGATCAAACTGTTGTTTCAGGGCTTTAAATGTGGCATCAAAGAATATGAACTTTGTAAGACGAGTCGACTTTAATGCATTCACGGCTGCGCGCCACAGCTTTTGTACTTTGCAGCTGTTTCGCTTCTGAATGTGAAACACAAAAAAAGTTTGTGTCTGTGTTTCTTGCTTTGTACCTCACACAGGGAGCAGAACAAGATTTGAGCTCACAAGAAAACAAACCACAACATCCACCATTTTCATCTCAATCTTTTTCTCTGTCTTTGTCTAAAAGGATTTTTTAGATCATCATTTGTCTTCTTGACACAATCATCAAAGTCGAACCTGTTTGTCGTCAAAGTCAGTTTGCTATGCATTCACTTCAGATTTCAACCTCCGCTAATTATGTGCAATTTCCCGAAATTCAGCAAAAATAGAGCCCCGGTGAGCTCTGTGAGTGGATCAAGTGACTTATGAATTTGCTGACTCTGCTGTACAGAACAAAAGATTGTGTATATATATGTTGACATATTTTTTGTGCTCTTTGGTGCAGATGACAAGGAGGACAGCATCCTGGGAAGCATCCTGCTGCCTAGTTTCCACATCTCCATGTTGTCAGTGGACGACCACATCAGCAGGAAGTACGCTTTCAAGGTAAAACGCTGCAACAGCTCAGTTTCCATCAATTTCTTATTGGTTGAGATCAAGATTATTAAGCTCACCGGGGGCTTTTTTTTAGTGTAGTTTAGTTTTGGTTTGGGTTGGTTTGGGTTGGTTTGGTTGGTTGGGTTACCCTCTGCCTCCAGTCTTTATGCTATGCTAAGCTAGCTTCTCTCTGTGCAAACAAACTAGATGGGTATCAATCTTCACTCTCACACACTTCAGTGTCATTCTTATTTATGCAGCTGTACCTGCTAAGACACACAGAGAGGATCCCTGAAGACCCTCACACTGTGGTGTTTTCACACTTCAGCAGAAGCAAACAGAAACACACACACACACACACACACACACACACTCATACTGTACACAAACACACCTCTCTGCCAACAGGAGTGATATAAAGACTCCCTGCTGGTATCTCAAGGTCACATCCAGAGCTGTTTCTCACTGCTGTTTTCCTCTCTGCCTCCTCCTCCTCCTTTTTATCTATCTCCCCCCATCAATACCTCCACCTCTCTCACCACAAGGCCACTCACCCCAACATGCGGACATACTACTTCTGTACTGACACAGCCAAAGAGATGGAGTCGTGGATGAAAGTCATGACGGATGCTGCTCTCGTGCACAGTGAGCCGGTCAGGAGGTCCGTATACTCTCTGCAGAAACTCGCCCACACACAAGAATACACACATCAGATGGTTGTAAGAGGAAATCTGAGAGACACAGTCACCATGTTGGAACCACATATTCTCCAGCACTGTAATATTCATGAAGTGTTTTATCATATCCCAAGAGTTCTCCTAAATGCCTCTAAAAGTGTCGAGTTTAGAGTTTCCTCGTGTTCAGAATCCCTCCGCTGAGAGCTGCAGAGAAGTTGAGCTTCAATCATGGGAGATATCGAGTTACATGAAGGAGCTTTCTATTTTTTATTCCTTTCAATGAGCACGAAAATATGATTTAAATGGCAATCGAGCCCAATTAAATACAACTAACTACCCCATTTGTAAACATGATATTGCTGACATGACTACAAAGAAGTGGTACGACTCGTCAGGGGTTAAAGGGAATTTCCACAATGTTTTTTTATGTCTCTCCGACCCCTAAAATAACAATCCCAGAGACATGGGACACTGTTTTATGTAGATGTTCAATCAGTGTTGATCGTAAATGTAGTCAAATTAGGCAGTAAATAACTCAGTGCTGCTCTACTGACAAAGGAAGCCGAGTTCTCCTGATTCTCAAGCCATGCCAGCATTGCCTATAAGTCCCAGAATGCATTTATTAGCCCTAATACTCGAACAGAGAAGTAGAACCAAACTCATTGTTGAACAGCCATCTTCCAAAAAAAAGGGGGCAAGAAATAGGGATGAAGGGAGAGGCCAAATAGGCGTTAAAAAATTGAGCCGATGCTGAAGTGTAAAATCCTGCAGTTCCATGAGTGTCCACTAGAGGCTGGCTGCAGAAGCACAGGAAGTCACATACACACAGCCATTCTAAAAAGCCTGTTTTTACAGCAGAGATTAACATGTTTACAGCCTGGTTCAAAAAAACAAATAGGTCTGATTAGCTCATGTCTCGATCGACAGGGGGTGAATGTTTTGATGACTCATCAGTTTTGATTTGATGAAGGATAAGAGTTATTCACAATAAGGCGTGTAGCTGACCTGATTGACAGGTGGGCGCGGTGTAACGGTTTGTCAGGAGGCTTAAAACCCGCCTCAGCTCCAGCTCTCAGTCTGTCGTTAGGTTGACTGAAAGTTAGACTGAGAGTATTTCCAGCATAGAGACCGCCATCGATAGGACTCCAGCGCCCCCTGCAGGAACTGATGGATAACGTCACTCAGGCTTCGTAAAATCAATATTTTACAGTCTTTGGGATAAACAGGTGACTTGTTTACTAATGTGAGTTATGTCACTTCCATCCGTGATCTCAGCCATTCAGAGTTTGGAAGTTAAACTTTTTCTCCTCCAGACACAACAAAAGATCATTTTTCAGCGTTAGCCGCGACTCTTTGACATCTGTAATCCTTCACAGTTGTTAACCCAGACAGGCCTCAGTCCTGCCCCCTCAGGGGTTCACACTGAGATCAGAAACTTCTTAGAAGGGGAAGGTCAGAAAATCAGACAGTCAGAACAAACACAAGACTTCAGACACTCCAGGTGTCTTTGAAAACTCTTAGAAAACTCTTTTCTTTATTCTCTCCCTTCTCTTTCTTTCCCAGAATGGACAAGTTGAAAGTGGACCAGCGGACGCCTCAGGAGTTGAACAACCTACTGAACCACAGAGTCCTGACCCGGCCCGAGATCCAGAACAACGAACGCAACCGCGAGCCCCTGCGACAACACTCGCTGTCTCGAGTGGACGACAAACGGAAGAAAGAGGAAAAACACAACAGCCAGAGGGAGCGAGAGTACTACACCTTGCAGAGAGACGGGGAGAGGTACTCGCTAAAGAAAGACGGTGTAAGCTACATGCTCCAGAAGGACGGAGAGAGGTATCTCCTCCACAAGGATGGAGAGAAGTATCTGCTGCGGAAAGATGGAGAGAAGACCTATCTGCATAAAGACGGGGAGGTGTGCGCCATTCACAGGGAGCTGGAGAAGTACGCTGTGCAGAAAGTGGATGAAAAGTACACAGTGACGCCGACAGACGAGAGATACGCTCCGTCTAAAGATGGAGAGAAGTACCTGCTCACTAAGGATGGAGAAAAATATGCACTGCAGAAAGTAGGAGACAGGCACATGCTCCAGAAGGACTTACAGAAACCTGCTCCTCATAAGGAGGTGAGGAGACAGCTGTCGTTAAAGGAGACGGAGAGGTATGGTACGATGAAGGCCGACAGTAAATATGGAACCTTACAGGTAATGGATAAATACGGCACTGTGAGGGAGGTGAAGAAGTACGCAACGCTACGAGAAGGAGATAAGTACTCAATGCTCAGAGACGCAGAGAAGTATGCTACAGTCCGGGCAGGAGATAAATACGGCTTCCAGAGGGATCCGAGTGCAGAGCGGACTCTGACCAAAATCAGCAGCATCAAGCTGCAGCCGGCTCAGGCCGCCGCCATCGCAGCCGCCGTCTCTGCATCCCGCCAGGCCAGCCTCAACACCCACAAACCTGTGCAGGTAAACGGCTCGGGTTCTGCGCAGGGGGAGCTGATGGGAGACTGCAGTCCAGCTGAGGTGGATGCCAGCCAAACTGGGGGTCCAGTGAAGTCCCCTGTTCCAGTCCAGGAGCCGGGAACAGGTCTGTCCAGGACCAACTCCATGCAGCAACTGGAGCACTGGGTCCGCACGCAGAGGACGAGAGGAGTGGACGACGACGCCAGGAGGTGAGACCGACTGAATGTGTGCTTGTGTTGTTTCTTTTTCTTAAGCTCAGACTTTTGCATCTTAAAAAACAAAGTCTGGCAGGTAATATGATATTGCATTGGTTAATTTCTACCAATTCATACAACCAAAGTCACACAACAACAAACATAAAGTCACACAGGATGACTGAGAACCTACACAGACAAACATAAAGTTACTATCAGGCAGTTGTTGACCAGTGTCTCCTGAGTTCTGCACAATAAAATGATTGTTTGGTGGCTTTAAAGAGAGCGATGTAGCGTAGGTTTCTGATTTAAAAGATCAACCTCCTCTGTGACAAAAAGTTCTATCTCTGCAGGGATCCTTTACGTAATGTTGTCTGACACCTCTAAGCCTGTCAGGGGCAAAAACAACAACTCTAAGTAAATGGACTGTAAAAAAGGAGCATGGCCCTCAAGGGTTATGTTGCAGCTATTACAGCTAACCCTAACCCAGCTGCAGGCTGAAACTCTCAGCCAAGTCCAATACTTAAAGTGAGCGTATGAGGGACGACCAAGTCAACTTTTACATCACCTGTAAAAGTCAATCTGACAGGTACAGGTAATAGAAAAATTAGCAGTTGTCAAAATGGCTGATAATTTAACTTTAACTTTATTGTAAACATTAGGATTAAGATGTGTAGTGAGTGAAATGATAAAGTGACCTGACTATATGATCAGACATTAAGGAAACATGCTATGTTGAAGTGCTGGCTTCTCTGACAACAATGCAGCAGCCAGTATGTCCTCCTTCTAACTTTAGATTCTGCTCCTGAATGCTCTGGATTTGTTTGGACCAGAGAAGGTAGGCGGTTTTAAGGCACCCCCCACACAGCCGTTTTGGATGCCCCTCAGTTTGTCAGATATGAGAGCAGTTATCAGGTCAAACCAACAGGTGTTGCAGCGATGGAAGCGGGCAAGAGAAGTGGTTCAGATAGAAGTGATTGTACCCGACCTAAAAAGCCTCTGCATGTTTCTAATAAGCTCCTCGAGCAGAAACGTGCTCAAACTAGGATCAATATTGGAGATGCTTTAGAAAAATGGAGAGAGGTTAGAACACAGAAAGGTTTACAGACCGATGCAGAGCTGGATAAACACTGAAGCTTCAGTGTCCACCACATGGCAACCTGAGTGAGCATCGACTCTAGAGAGGAGGGGGCGGGGGGAGACAGATCTCTACAATGTTTAGAATTTGGACTGCAGTACCCATTTTAAACACTAGGTGTCAGTGTTACATATTGCTCCTTTAACCTTCTCAGCACAAATTATGCTTAACTTGTCAAATAGATGTTAATTCCTGTTTTTTTGTGCTAATTCAGTAATTAGATAACTTTAGCTACAGAAGAGGCTGACCTCTCATCCCAACAGCTCTGCTCCTCCACAAGATTCAAACAATTATTCCTCAATCATCCCCCTTCCTTCCTCCCTCCCTCCCTCCCTCCCTCGCTGTGCATCCTCCTCCGTCCTTGCTGTGACCTTGCGGGACGCGGGGAGCTGAAAGCTTTTTGTGTCACAACAGATGTGTGTCTCATTTGGGAGCGCTGGCGTTTAGTTGGCGTTTAGCCGGCTGTACGGGGGGACGCAGCGGAACAGAAGTGCAGAGCGCAGCCGCTCGTCGTGCTGTCAGCGCTTCCCCTCTCCGTCTGCTGCCATGAATAAGTCATAGAGACGGGAGCGTAATGAGAGCGAGCTGAGCGCCGCCGAGCCACATTTGTCATCTTTATCAGCTGTGGGTGCAAACGAGGGGAAGAAAGAAACTTTGTTGTTGGACTGACTGTTATTGTTGTTAACAAGGAGACTTCTGCTAACAGCCGTGTTATTGACGGCGAGCAGACAGAGTTACAAAGTGCACCGAGGATTGAGCTGAAAACCGCCATGTAAAGCAGCGTGAGGTATTCATACCCGACCTGACGTGTTTGTTTTCGATTTCCTGTCTCTCTTAGGATCCAAATCTTGCTCGCTCTGCTCGTCTCCTTTGCTAAATGTTCACACTCACTCGGAGAGAGTCCGGTCTCTGTTTCATTGTTTTGGTATCAACAAGAAAATAATGTTTTTAGTGTATGAAGCAGAAAAAAAAGGAAAGAAGTGTTGTGTCAAAAGCAAATCAATAAACAGCCTGTGAGTACAGAAGTGATCTATGTTACGGGGATGTTGTTCCAAAGTGTCTCTGGAGCTAATTGTTCCGACACTGACTAAAGTTTAAGTCGACCTATTCTGATGATCGCCCGTTTTAAAACTCACATTTAGTGTTACCATGCTGGATGTTAGAACTAAACGTCTCTCAATAAGAGACTGATGAAGATCACAGGACAGACTGAGGAAGACTTTAGTTTTGGTTAAAGGTGAATTCTTTGTCCCGTCCCCCGTCCCCCCCCCTTTACAACAGACTCAGTAATAACATCAAATTTGAGATTATCATCCAAATACGTACCCAAGTATTTTAATGAGATTACAATCTCAACATTTCCATTTGTAATGATTCCCTCCTGGCTGCTTCTCTCCTTTTTTATAAAGATTTATTTTGGTGCATTTTGTGCATGTAATGTAGAGAGAGGACAGTGGATAGAGTCAGAAATCAGGGAGATAGAGAGCGGGGAATGACGTGCAGGAAAGGAGCCACAGGTTGGATTCGAACCTGGGCCGCCCGCTTGGAGGACTATAGCCTCCGTACATGGGGCGCGCGCACTAACCACAGCGCCACCAGCGCCCCGACTGCTTGTCTCCTACGTCTGAAATCAACATCTAGTTCCTTGCTTTAAAAAATGTTCAAGTCTAAAATGTTGTTATCACACCAAGCTTCCTTTCACTCATCGGCTAAAGGTCCTGACACGCCAAGCAGACCAAGAAGTAGTAACGACGAAGGCCGACTGTGACGTCGCCTCATGATGCCTTTTGTCTTTGCCAAAACGTTGCACTTGAACACACCGGAAAGACTACAGCCAACGACAACCACCAAGTACGTACTGCGCATGCGTGAGAGGAAATAACTCTCCATGCCAGCAGGTGGCGGTAGTCTGTAATCGTCAATCCAAAAAGTGGAAACGGGAAGAGGACGAGGACGGAGAAGAATGCGGATAAATACACCGTTGTTGTGATACGAGAAGACCATTTTAACACATCGCTTTGGCTCACCACTCGTGATATAAGTACTTCTAATCCAGAATAATGTCTGATTAAAAAGTTGTTTACTTGGTTTTCCTCACTTCCCTTTTTCTTCCTCGTGCACTGATTCGCTTAGCTAAACAGCCTATCAGAGAGATTCCTCTCACCAACCACGCTGCATTCTGACCGGCGCTTATTCAACATGTCGAATCGACAGAAAAAAGGCAGACGAGGGCCGACGGGTAGCGACGGTATTAAACTAGGGCAACGATCACTCACGGTCGGTCCTGGCCGTCGACCTCCTTTGTGTATCAGGGACCTAAACCGACTTCTTGCAGAGATTTTCCTGGCAGAAGAAAGACTTTTATGCAAGTGTAAAAAGGATATTTGACTCTCATGGTATGCAAGCTTCAGGTCAGGGCGGGCGCTCCTCTCTCTCCTGAATGTAAAGGTTAAACGAGATGAACAAAGAGCGACTCATCCAGGTGACGGATGGTGATGGTGCAGTCCCAGTGACAAAGGCTCTAATAAATCCCCCTGTGGACCCGTGAGGTCGCAGTCCTGCAGAGTCGAGGCGTCCTCTTTATGATTACCTCTAATGTCTGTAACGATGACGAGCTCGTCGGGACTCAGTGTCCTCGGGGTCAAAGTGAAAGTGAGGGGAAAGTTCTGTGAACAGAAAGTAGTTTGATAATTAAAGGCAGCCATGCGCACTGAGCATGTCGAGGCTCACACATACAGATAATTAAGCGGGTTCCTTCTCAGTACGCTCTGATTAAACGCACTGATTGACTGATGCAGGATAAGCATGTGCAGCATGTGCAGGTGTTTGTGGGTCGTTCTGTCTGTCCTTTCTCTAAACATGTGTGGGCTGTGTGTGACCCCACCTTAAATGTCAACGCCTCGACTTTCATGTCAGCTGTGGTTTTTGTTCTCTTGATTGCTGCAAAGGAAGTAAATGTCTTTTTTAGCATAAAACACAGGCGACATGTTTTTTCTACGAGCTGGTCTCCTGCTGCAGCAGAGGAGGGTCTGGACGCTGCAACATTCATGAGTCACTGCCTGCTTTAAAGAATGACTCATTCCTCCGTGTATTCACTTATTTGCACATTTATTAGTTTCTGAAAAGTTCACCGCTGCCATCTTCCTCCATAACACCAAGAGAAGAAATGGCCGCCGCCGCCGTCCTTTGCTAATTTATCGCAGTGCTTTTTAGCAGAGCGTTGCAGGAATGTGCTCTGGATTCTTCGACTCGCAGCTCTAAACCTCTCATCACAGCTTTCTTTATAGTTTAGAGAAACCATATTTTATACTCTTTTTGAAAGTCTTTCTTCTGATGACAAGGTTACATCCTGGTGTCCTGACTGAGCCGTGTGAAGTGTAGCCCATGATGACAAGGTCCTCCCAAGAACAACTTTTAAGAACATGCATGAAAAGAATGAAGAGTAGAGTCGAGGATTTAAATTTCATGATGAAAAAATTATTAAAATATGGACTCTTATAAATGATCATTTCCTTGCTTCTCTATTGATTTGCAACTGGAGAGACCTTGGATAGTTTAAATACGGAGGGACGTCGGCTCATAATTCAAGAAAAGACATAAACATATTTGTTCAGCAAATGTTAGCATTCAACAGCTACCGAGTGAATGTGTCCAATAGGAAGGCATACATTTGAAATATCGTTATTTTAGCTTCAATGTGTTGAATCTAGACGTTTACTACAGCTCAAGTTGTGTGTTAAGCGGGGTACACACTACAATTGGCCCGATTCCCCTCTTCAGAACAAAGTCAGCAAATGCCCGACTAGCTGATGGACACAAAGATTATCTTTCCAGACTCTCCTGAGGTGTGATTCAGAGTGATTTCTAACGTTCCCGATCTGCTCAGAAGACGATAGGGGGCGCCAATAAATATGAAATGGTTCAATATTTACGATTAGAAATCCTGTTGTGTGGGGCGAATACAGAGGACGGCCCAGGACGGGCTCTGTGGTTTGTTATGTGGAAGGGAACAATAGCCAATCGGGAAAGCAAGCTGACATTACCATGACGACGACAGCAAAATGCAAAGCACAAAAGTCAGGTGGGTGTCATAAATTCAGGACCGACTTGTTGATTTCAATCCTGTTTCAGAGGAGGTACTCTCCCTACACAAGAGGGATTGTAGAATGTTTTTATGTTCTCCTACCCATAATCCCCCACAGCCATATACGAGGAAATCTGAATTGTCAAGTGGTCACTGCATTAGAATTGTCATCAATACAAGAGTCCTTAAATGAAGACCTTAATGATGAAGCCATTTGTGCTTGGTCTGTATTTGAGTATTTTTTGAAAGTGTATTTACTTTTTCAAAGATCCGAACCCTTTCTCCAAGGTGAGGGGTTTGTGTCAGAGCCTCAGTCTGCTGCAGTGGTCCAGATTTAAAGTTGTTGACAACTAATGATGAAGTGCCCTGATATAGAAGATCTCTGAGCTGGAGGAGTCTGAGATCAACGAGCGTCTGTCCTGCTCAAGTGTTCCTGAGCCCAGACTGATTCTGTTTCAGATTCGAGGTTATAACTTTCCTGAAGCTCGGCAGTTAAGCTGTCCACCTGAAAACCATGTGTCCTGAAAAGATACTGGATCACTCATGTTAGAACCTCTTTACAGACAGCATGTTGTTGGAGTGTATATAGAGCTTCCTTTGTACATCAGCTGTTTAAAGGTGAATGTGCCATAAATGGAACCAGTTTCTAGAGTACCATAGGTCTATTGTGATGCATTTATTAGCCGGTCCAACATGCAAAGCTTCAGAGTCAGATGCGACCTTTCCTAACTTAAGCTGGCTACATGCTAGGCAATTTTAGCGCCTGATTCTGGGCCTGATTTGCCACCTTCAACAATCAGGGGCGTGGTCCCATTCAAGGCTTGTCGAAACCGATTTTTTTGTCCAAATAATTCTCAAGTGTGTGGTGTCACTACGATTATTTTACTGCTCCCGATCGATTCCGAGCCTCCCCGATCTGGAATCATCCGTTCCATATCGTACTGCCTCAGCCTGAAAACCCCCAATAGCCAATGAGAAGTGTCACCAAACGGCTCGCCCTCAGCTCAAGCTGCAAATTGTTTTTAGCTGCACATAATCCGTCCTCTCAGCCAGGATTCCATCCTATTGTTTTTCGCTGCCAAACTGAACACACAGCAGGACAGACAGTTGACGATGTCTAACGATGTCTAGTCAAGCGAGTTTCTCAGAGATCTTGCGACTGTGAAATTTTTCTTCAAACTAATTGCAGGTGCGTGGTCTCGTATTTTGTGTGTTCGGAGGATTATAACATTAAAAAACAGTTGAAACTATCCTCATGTCTGTTGTCTCCAACGTTTTAAAAACCCATGTAAGATAAAATCATTGAATTGTGTAGCCAGCTTTAGAAACCTACCAAATCTTGCTTCCTCTCCAGGGTTGTCTGCTGTTTCTCTTCAGACTTCTGGGGCTCTATTTTTGCTGCGGCAGAAAAAGCAGCACTCCCACAGTTTGGTGCTTTGCAGAACTTGAAATGTTCTTTGCAAACAGAAAGAAAGTTTGTTTGCATGAGGCAGAGCCAAGAGTGTTGTTTGCATGTTGGTGACATCTCAGAACCATATCTGAACAAAAAGCCTCAAACATGTTTGCATTCATGGTTATGAGTTTATCATTAAAACAAGAGACCCTGACGTGGTAAATAATCAGCTGAAGATCAAGATAACAGAGTTTTACACTTTTTATTTAATTAAAAAAATTAATATATGTCACTCTTTTCCTCCCTGAAGACTGAAAGTCCAGATACGGATCAAAACCACACAAATATACTCCTGATCTTGCTGTTAATGCTGAGCTTTAAAAAATATCCTTGACCCTACGTGATGATGAGAACTTGTATCTCACAGTTTGTTGTGTTTCCTCTCCCAGTGTGACGTCCTACCAGACCTTACCCAGGAACATGCCGAGCCACCGTAATCAAATCGTGCCCCGCTACCCCGAGGGTTACCGCACGCTGCCCCGCAACAGTATAATGAGGCCCGACAGCATCTGCAGCGTGGCTGGGTCCATGTACGACCGAGCTCTCCGTCCCGCCTCCACCAGCACCGTCATGTCCACGGCGGAGAAGAGGAGGTCGATGAGGGACGACACCATGTGGCAGCTGTACGAGTGGCAGCAGAGGCAGGCCTTCTCCAGGCATAGTCTGGCTCAGCCAACAGGTACAGAGACCAGAGAGAGAGAGAGAGAGAGAGAGAACTGTCCTACAGGGAGAGCATGAGAGGGACAAGTATGAGAGTTTGTCACAGCGAGGCAGGGGTTACACCCTGGACTGGTCACCCGTCAATCACAGGACAGACAACCAGCTACACTCACATTAGGTGTTAGGTGTTTGTTCTGCCCTCTGAGTCTGCCTTCTCACCGTAAACAATAGGACATGGAGCGAGAACGTACAGAGACACACAAGCCCTTCCAGAGAGGCGGTGTGGTCAGACACAGCTCATTTACATTTAAAGGTACAGATACAGAAACAGCCTGTTCTGAGCAAGGCTGAAATAGAGGGGTTTATAGGCATGATCAAATACAGGATCAGAGTGGATTTAGAATAAGAGACTTCACACATATGTTTTGAGGAGCTCTGAGACTTATTTAAACTGGTTTGAGAGGAGGAGGATATGTGACCTTTAAGTGAAAATATCACAAACTGCATTTCTTTCTTTTCCCCCTTTTGTGATTCTCCTTTATCTCAGTGATAGTTCGTTTCTCCTTCTCATTATAAATACTCACTGTGCTGACCATAAACTCTGCAAAAACCTTGAAGCTGAGATAACACATTTCGTTTTTTTAAAGCTACGAATTCAGTGCCTGGTTTGAAACTTTGTGCACTAAGTAAACAAACTCCTCCCTCAACCTTCAATGTGGGGCTCCTCACAGCTGTGGAGTGTCACTGGATGGTATCAACAGCATTATTATTATAAGTGTGCTGCAGAAAATGACAGCCTCAAAGTGTTACCTGATGTGCTTTTAGGCTCAGTAAGAGCTCCATAATCATTTTTATATCATGTCATCATTTTTTAAAGATCACATTTTGGAATATGGCGGCAATTTTTTTTACCACCACAGAAAATGTTTCAGGCTTGGAAAGCATCTGACTCCACTCTGCCTCTCCTCTCTCCTCCTGCCGCCTCCAGCTGTCAGCCATTATGGCACTCTGCCCAGCACAAAGACCATGGGCAACATCTCCGAACACGCCGTGGCACACTCCATCCCCACCTCTCCGTCTCACGGCTCCCTGGCTCTCTACAGCACCTTCTCCCCTCCTCGCCAGCAGGTCGCTCACAACCCCAGCACCACCCCCCACTCGGAGGTGTCCTCACCCGTCTTCATGGGGGACGTGACGCTGGACCCCCGGCACAGAGCACAGCTCACAAAGGTAAAGGGCAAGGCTTTATAGATACATTAAAAGATGCAAAAAGGAGGACCATTACAACCTAAAAGCAACATTTAAATCCACATTCTCAAATCTACAGAGGCTGTTATTGACCTTTGAGGCACAGGAGCTAAATGCATCATAAACATTAGCTTCTTAAGTTCTCGACTGAGAGGCAGTTCATGTGTGAGAGGCAGCAGAGCGCTGTGCTTAGTTAGGATTTTCAAGAAATGCTCAAAGCAACTTTATGTTCTTAGAAGACTCGATGGCCTCGGTGTTAGCCAACAACTTGTTTAGAAACTCAACTTCTAGGAAAGCGTGCTTCGTCTCTAAAGCCGGTTTCTGAAGTTAAAGACTCCCTGCAGCTTCTGCGAGTCTGTTTAAGAAGTCCTTCATTACAAGCACTATCAATATTCTCCACTCCACAAACTGACACAGAAACGTATTCCACATGAAATATGTTGAATGCAGAGAGTGACCTTTTGGTGTTTGATGTGTTTGGTGAGCCGGAGACGAACTTCCACCCAGCTTTACAACTCAGGTATAATCTACGATATCCTTTTTTAATGGTAGTTTGATTTATTGTAAGGTGTGAAAGTGAACACTGGGGGCTGTCATTCTTTCAATCAAAATCAAATTCAAAATATGACAGGAATGTTGGATGACATTCAACCACCATTTTCATTACTTCACTTTACCGTTTCGTTAATGAGCCTAAATCCAGCAGCCTGTCGACAATCCTAAAGGACCGACCTATTTAATTTTATTTACAATATTACCTGACACTGGGTTCAGAGTGCACAGCCGTTCCTGGTGCACACAGATATTTGCGAGCCAGCTTGTAGAGTTGCAGGTTTGTAGCAACTCATGTCTCACCACCAATCAGTGGTGGAGAGACATGGCACATGACTGTAAGAAAGCCAGTGGTATGATGATATGTTTGGTTACTGTCAACATGCCAGGGACTCGCTTGGTGATATGATGACAGATATGCATTCTGCCAAATCGAGTGAGTTTCCAGCTTTGAAGATCTAGTTACCGCTTTCAGTGTCCATCTCTCAGTTACCATCAACGGATTATCATTGGCTGCACCTGTAGTTAAAGAAAATGAAAGCATTCAGCATCACTCAAGACTTCTCGTCATTGTGATGTCTGATTCGAGGTTTGAAGAGAAAACAAGCACATTTCCTGAGCCTGAGGATCAGTCGATTCATCGTGTGAATCAAAGAGCTTAAATGCAGATAGAAAAACGCTGGAAATGACGCTCTGTTTGCACTTTTGTCATTCACATTTCCCCCCTAGATGATGAAAATTAGACTCAATACAGCTCACTCCTTTTTGAAACACTCTGAATGCGCTTGGCATCCCGTCCCCCGTCGATGAGGAGGTCCTTGTCAGAGATGGAAGTAGGCCTGAATCTGAAGAGTCCACAGATGTTCCTCCTCATTTCCCCACGAGAGTTTGGCAGGAAGCAGAGATGAGTTTGCACTCAGTGAATCATTCACACTTCAATAAACGAGTCCAATCCTCCTGTCACACGTCTGAAGCCCAAGTCCGATCCCCCGTCCCCAAGTGATGAGCCACATAGACACCTCAGATCCAGTTTGTACTCTGAGCCACGTAAGACAGCTCAGGTGAATCCACTGGGCGACGTACGATCTGCTCGCTATTCACAGTGAGAGAGATGAGCAAGACGCAGAGAACACCTGTATATAAAAAAAACACTCAGATGGTGCGAAGGAAAACAAAAGGAAGTTAGCGTCTGGCAGCTATTAGGACACACTGTTAGAGAAGACTTTGATACGATACTTGTAGAAAACAAATAAGTCTGATAACTGTTTCAATACCATTGGAACAAAGATAAAAGTCCAAGGCAAACGATATTGAGTCATTCCAACAGCTTGAGACACTCGTTCTCTTGCAGCAGCTTTTTTAAAATAAGACCAAAGAAGTGTTTTAAGAAGTGTTTTTAAGGCCTCTGTTCTTTTGGATACCGCCAATCAACAAGGCAACAGAGATTGCTTTAAACTTAGTGTCACTGCATTTTTTGTTCAGCTCTTTGGTTTGAATATAATTTTGAATGGCTTGAAGAGATTTTCTTTGGTTTGGTGAAGTCCTGCGTCCGTACGGTGAATGTTTCAGCGGCTGTATTAAATTAAACCGACAATAATTTGAGTCCACCCGTCGCTCTTTGTTTGTTGACAAAGAAAGCAGATGTTGGCAGAGAGATAGCTGCATTCAAATATATGACTTAATGATTCCTTTTGTTGAATTCTCATTTGACTAATGTTTGTCTTTTCCTGCTGCATTGTTCCTCGGTCACGTCACAGAATAAACTCAATAAAAGCAATTAAGAAGCTTCTGCTTGAAGGAGCTAATGACTGTAAATCAGGCATGCTTCAAAACACAACTGAAAAACATTCCATGCTGAAAAGCCCTCATCTTTAGTTTTAAATATATGTTGTTGTAAGACGGCTCTGGAGTCTGACTCACATGTTGTGTATGTGTGCAATCTGTTTGTTTTTAACGAGGGTCCTGGCTGCAGCAGATCCAACCTTTAGGAGGTGATCATTCTCGTGTGTATTAGGGGACGGGGCATTGAGACTCCAGACAAAGCAAAGCAGGAAAACACTCTGCGGTTGTCCCAGGAGAGAAATGTTTTGAGCTTGGCATTGTTCTCGTAGCGAGGCCGTGTCAAAAATAAATCAGGTTTTATCAAGTTATATTGAGAAAATGAACCACAAAGTTATGGTTTTGGGGATGAAGTACAATGCTACAAACCAAGTAAAGCCATCCCCACACTTCACATGGATAAATAGTCTTTGTCAGACATGGTGGAGACACTGAGGGAAACTCATTCAAAGCAGAATGGAGGAGTTTGAGAAACATGGCAGGAAAAGACAAGAACTGTGCTCTGCATGCTGCCTTAACTGCGGCCCCCTGGTGGACAGAGTTCACATCACTCGCCCCCGCAGAAGCCCACTTTCTGTGTTTGGCGACTGACTTCATGTAATTCTGTCAAAGTGGTAATGAGGGCTACGGGATAAGACTTGCAACTGGTCTGGTATAAATCCGGTCCTTGATCAAGATGTCTGCTGATCTGACCCGTCTGTCGGAACTGGGACGGACCTTTACTTTTTTGCCGTTAGGCCACTGCACACTGGGCAGTTGAGGATCCATAACAAGGACTATTATGTTTTTGTTCACGAAATATTAAAATCCTGCAGTTCCTCGAGTGTCCACTAGAGGCTGGCTGCAGAAGCACAGGAAGTCACATACACACCCATTCAAAAAAGCCTGTTTTTACAGCAGAGATTAACATGTTTACAGCCTGGTTCAAAAAACCAAACAGGTCTGATTAGCTCATGTCTCGATCGACACACACTGTACGGGGGGTGAATGTTTTGATGACTCATCAGTTTTGATTTGATGAAGGATAAGAGTTATTCACAATAAGGCGTCAGGAGGTTTAAAACCCGCCTCAGCTCCAGCTCTCAGCCTGTCGTTAGGTTGACTGAAAGTTAGACTGAGAGCATTTCCAGCATGAAGTCCGCCAGTGATGGGACTCCAGCGCCCCCTGCAGGAACAGACGGGTGACGTCACTCAGGATTCAAACATGAATATTTACAGTCTGTGTTCTGCACACATTTAAAAAAACACATATTCATCCTCTCCACATTACCTCTCTAAGATGTTACATCCCTAAAATAAAGCCATGAATACTTCCCGTGTTTGTCGAGCTTCGTTTTGGATGTTATTTAGTCCAACAATCATGTTTCCAAAAGAAGCAGTTTGTGTTCCCTTTTCTGTCTTAACTTATTTTATTCTCATCCCTCTACCCCGACAGTACGGCTTCCAAGCGGACCGACGATCCATTGCGGGCAGCGTCCCCGCCCCTGCCCCCGCTCAGACCATCACTGCCCAGTCTCTGCAAGGCAAGACGGTGAGTGTCCCAGTGCGACCCCTCTCCTCCAAAACACTCCATACGCTGACATACAGTCCTATAGTTTCATTAAACTCTTACAGGAAGTGAGCGTTTACGCAAATAAACTAAAGAACAGCCTGTGCTGTCCATCAATAACATTCACACACTGATGTACACACAGCTCACACGTCTCTCGAAGTCATGTTTTGTTCACAGCTGCTTCTTACAGCTTGTTTGTCCACTTGTCTCTGCAGGACCAATCTAATTATTGAGGATGCCATTGTCTCTGAATAACAGCACACACACACACACACACACACACACACACACACACACACACACACACACACACACACACAGAATGAAATTGTCTTTGCTCTCAAATTGAAGCAACAACAATCACGAGCGCGGGCTGATATTTCTCTTTGAAGCGAGCTGTGAATAATGTCGTGATTGCTCGTCGGCAGTCGAGTGCTTCGGCAACTTGATGAGAAAAATGCATCCAGTAATTTTCCACGCGGCTTTCTGCACAGCGCTGTTTTGTCACAGTCACAGCGGCTCCGTTCCTTGACTTCATAATGTCACAAAATGATGAAATGCTGTGTTTCATGTGTGGCTATGCGTTTGTATTTGCGTCTTTCCGGGTGTGTTTAAGTGTACTAGGCCGTCTTTAAATCTTTAATTGAGATTACTTGCTCGCTCTTCACCCTCATCTAGGATCGTCTTTTAACTGTTGATGACAAACACGTATTTTGCCTCGTAGTAAATCAAGCAGCTTATTGACGGTTTGCCGTTGCAAAGCCAAAAGGTCGTAGAAAGGTTGAACCATTTTCAGAAACATTTCCTCACCGCTGACATTATAGTCATGTCGAATGCAGGAGCCTTTTCAGATTTGAAAGATGTAGAAAAGTCAGTTTCAGGTAACAGTACAGACAGACAAACCGCCGTGGAAGCGATTTAAGGACAAGTGTGTCTGTCACACTGATGACGATGTGCTAATGTTTCTACACGCTGTTTGGAGGAAATGTACTCATACACTTATAGGAATAGTCTGTCAGCTCCTCTAGGAACAAAGCAATGACGAGCGCTCTATGTTAACTCAAATCCCTTTTTCCTATTTAGTTTATTTGGTTGACCAGAGTGCTCACACACAGGCCCCCCCAGCTGTTTTTCCCCCAGATGCGTTCAGGCGTTTTTGGAGCGGCCTCACCTAGTGTGACGTGTCTCTGTGTGATCAGGCTCTTGATAGTTGATAGCTTGATAGTTTCTCAAATCTAAAGATTTCCCTCTCAGATCCTCCGCTCATTCTTTCTGAAATAAATCTGAAGTTGTCTCTTCCTCCATGCAGTAAAGTGTAGAACATATTGATATTCACACATAGTTCTGGATTGATTTATCTGCTTATGCTGAGCTTTCTGTTTGCAATGTTTCTGTGTGTAAATAACTTGACAATGTTTATTTCTTTGAGATATCCCAGATGAACTTTTGCTGAACTAACAAACTCAACCAGAAGAAGAAATGTGTGGATTTCTGCTGAAATATCTGCTGCTGCATTTGAACATACATCACATAGTCGTCAGCATATAGTGTAACTCTGCCTCCAGTTTGAGAACTGGGACATCAAACGTTTGACCATTTTAGTGTTATTAAGTCAATTTCAGAACTGTGTCTTCTCTTTAAGTTCATCAGAGTCACTGAAAGACTCAACCAGTAAACAGTGCCCATGGATTTCATCGTCTGAGTGGCGGTTTGATTCTCTCTTCTGTGTGTTGCTGTGTGCAGCCGGAGGAGCTGACCCTGATGCTGATCAAGCTCCGCCGGCAGCAGGCGGAGCTCAACAGCCTGCGGGAACACACAGTAGCTCAGCTAATGGCCCTCGGTTTGGAGGGGCCCAACCCTAAGGTCAGCACTGTGTGTGTACAGTTCATGTGTGTGCATGGACGCATTTGTGCTTCCCAGTTGTGCATTCAGAATCCTTTAATCTGTGGGTAGAGGAGGTGCTTTACAACCGGCTTACCCCAAATTAAATTGTTTTTGGTGTGTTCTGTAGGATTCTGTGAGCTAAAGCTAATGCTCACTTTGACTCCAAATCTTTCTATTTGTGTTTGAAGCCAATGGTCCACCACTTAAATATCTTCTCGATTCATGTTTATTGGATTGTCATGAAATTTGGTAGAGACATTCATGGTCCAAAGAGAATGAAATATAATGAATTTGATGTTACCTTAACTTTAACATTTGTGCCATGATGACGTTATGGGACCAAACAAGAAAACCTTGACAGCAGCGATGACAGAACGTCCCCCCCAAACTCCAAAAGTTCAAACACAAATCAGAAAAAGATATTCCAGTCAGATTAAATGTTTCACCTGCAACAAGTTTTGTTGAATTTGGGATATTTTCCAATCATTTGTCCGACTGAACACCCAATTCAGTTTCTTTGGGGGTATTGTGTGAGTTCATGCTGCTTTTGGTTGGGGAGTGATGCTGGGTTCTCTGGGCTGTCCTTTGCACAGGTGTGTGTGTGTGTGTGTGTGTGTGTGTGTGTGTGTGTGTGTGTTTGAGCGTGTTAATTTTTTGCATCGTTTCTCTTCTCCTGCATATGCATGTTGGCTTGAGGTCACTTGGTGGTCGTGAACCAACAGAGCATGAATGCATTGCAGCTGATGCATCAAAACAACGTTGCATCTGTCGTGTTTTGTAAGCTTGATGTGCAAACAACATGACTGCTGGTTTGAAACCATCGCAGTGCTGTTTTTTTTATTTTTGCACACATTTGTTATTAACCTCACTAGGTGTGATATTGCTCATTTAGTGATGTTCAGAAGTTATTCATAATGCACGTACAAGATTGTCAGCATGTCAGATACGCAAGGTTTGAAATGCAGCATGTTGACTTGTGTTTAAGGTCGACTGAAAACTAATGAGAGATAAGAAACTTGCATGAGTCAAGAGCTGACCATTCAAATATCAGACTGATCCAAATTTAGATTTGGATAACGGGCTAAGATTACAGTTGTGAGGCTTGCTAAGAGCATTGGTTCCCAACCTGGGGCCCAGGCCCCCCAGAGAGGGGCCACCAAAGATCACGGGGGTGTGAAGCTCTGTCTGCTCTCAGCCTTGCACATATGAGTAAATATGCATGATAAAACATTTCTTGGTTAGTTTAGGTAGATGTCTTATTGTAAGAACTTGTCTCTAGGCACCTTCTGTTGAGATTTTACAAATGAAAAACTTTTAAAATTAAAACAGTTGTTTTTTTAACTTGTGGGCCTTTGGGGGGCTCAGCTTTTCTTAGATAAAAGTAGGGGGGCTCCAAGGACAAAAGGTTGGGAAACACTGATTTAGGATAGGGACCTGGGCCCGGATCTGAGTATGCTTGACCCCAAATCCGGTTCATTTGATCATTGTTAACACAAATGTACTGTACATGTGGACGTAAAAAGAGGGTCGTTGTTGGCGTCTCAAAAATAAATAAAAAAACATCCACAGTTAGCAGGGTGGACTCAACCTGCGAGTAGTTGCCATGGTTGCTTCTTTTCCTTTTTTGGTTTTGGCCAATGCAATCCAACTATGTGTAAACCGCCACCTTCTGTATCGGTCTGTGTACATACACAAGTATACTCGGGTACAGAACAATGTTACTGATATGAACCAAACATTGGTGCCTATGTGAACACTCCCTTAGCGTATTCATCAGTGAAAGTTCTGATATTGTTGCAACAAGTCCTCACATTAAACTCGTCAAATATGTGTCTCTACGCTTAAAAATATGACGAGATGGGAGGGAAGATTGGCTACATGTCCACAAACAGCTGGAAATGGATCTGGATCTAAATGTCTTCTGAGAAATCAGGGTTAGGGTTGGGAATGCATGAGCATCGAACGTCATGCATCTTTTGATTCTTCAGTTTATTTGAACTTCATGGTACTGTGCTGTTTTTTGGGGTGGATTTTTGGTCAAGCTATGGCAAATTATGGGGGGAAACTGGAAAACTATCATTATCCCAGTAAATATATAAACAATGATAGATGATTGAATCTGAAGCTCTTCCTCTTAAATCATCCTCTTATCTCCACATCCCCATCTGCTTTATTAATAATCTCTTCCTTCCTCTTTGAGTGCCTTTAACTCGCTTTCCTTCCCTGACACCGTTCTCTCCTTCCTGCTTCCTGCTTCTCTCTCTCTTCCTGCTTCTTCTTCTTCTTCTTCTGCCGCTGCTCCTGCAGACTGATGTTCTTTCACATCACCTCCAGAGGAACCTCATTTACCTGGAGAGCCAGGTGAGGCCTGTCTGTGTCCGTCTCAGACTGCTTGGTGGAGACTTTCCTTTCTAGCTTAGTGGACGCTAACGATAACTCGTATGTTTTAACGAATTAACTTGTGTTTCATGCACGTCCATTCAGAATCAAGATTGTATATTTTCTTATCTTCTTTTTCTGCCTTTTCTCTGCTCAATGTTCTGTTCTTTTACCTCTTTGCTCCAAATCTAAACCCTTCATCGATCTAGGCGCTTCACATTTGGAACATTTGTTCAGATTTAGCCCTCTGCTGCTATCGAAGCTTGTCATTGATTTCCTGCATTGACTTTATAAATAAAGAAACATGTAGAAAACAAGGAGTAATTCAATGTGAAGCCGCTGACTTTGGTGTTTAGCTACTGGTTGAAGAAGTTATTTAATAATGACGAGGGATTCTTATCTGACACATTTCTACCAGAGTAGGAACCTTTTGGATGTTTCCACTGGAGTCATGTCAGCATTGGTTTTGCCCACGCCTGCTGATGGCTCACAGAGGCACATCAGGATCCTGGCAGGCATCCAAATGTGCAGTTTATTTTTCGCCTGTAGGTTAGAAGCACTTCCTACATTATAGATACCACTGCTCCGTTCTGGAAAGGACGTGTGCTTCAGGAAGAAAACTAGACATGTTGTAGGAGCGAGTGGCTGGAAGTTTGAATGCAAATATAAAACTTAAACACAAACAGATCTGTCTCAGAGAAGGTCTCAAGCTTCTTACTACCAGCCTTTAAAAACGATGCAGTGTATTTAAGCACTTTGTACAGCTGTGTGATTACACCCTTGTATCCTCTTTCTCCTCTGCGTTCGGCTAGACGAAGGAGAGTGAGCCTCTAATCTTCATGATTCACACTATGATCGAGAACTCGGCACCCAGGCCGCAACTCTACCAGCAAGTAAGGTCTTTGGCAGGTTCTGGTTTGAGTCAGATTCATCAGCACACTCCATGATCAAACCTCATGAGACAAGCTGGGAATCACTTTTTTATACCGTTAAGGAATCTTGACAAATGGCCTTGTACAAAGTTAGAAGCTTGATCCAAAGACAACTGGACTGGTTGAAGATCTAGAAGTTGCCTTTGGATCAAGCTTTGGATTCTCAATGACCTGGAGACTGAGAACCTACACAGACATCTTGTACAAAGTCGAAACCGCTGATGACTACTGTGACTGTGATTGGCAGTCGAGAGCGGGCAGATACCACCAAAACGTTGGGAGTGCTGGTAGTCCCAGCTCTGTTGGCGATCATGAAATGATGAGTTCAACCATCATTAAATGTTTGTCCAATTTTAATAAACTTTGGGAAACTGATTGAAGTGCAGCTGACTCAAACCAGACCGTTCCCCTCAGTGGCCCAGTGGTTGTGTTTCCACGTCCTCCCCTTCACCATCGACCTTTTTGTTTCACCACTTTGGATGCCGTCAGTCCCCTCCATGACCCATCCAGTTATTTATCAGCAGACTGTCACAGATTCTGTCCCAGCACCTTTTTGAGTCTATATGAATATATTTTTTACGGTTCCAACACATCTCATGTCATTGCTTTCTGTTGGACGCTGTGGGATGTGACCTGAAGTGAGCATGGCTTATGGTGTAATGCTGCACAGCCATGACGTCCACTTGCCACCTCCAGTCTTTATAAAGTACTGTTCATTGTTGAGTACATGATCTTCCAGTTTGTGTTTTTTAAAGGTTAATGGAACCTTCTGGATTCTCTCTGCGTGGGTTTGCACCATCATCTCTTCGCTGTATTTCCTGGAACAGACCATAATAATGTGCTCTGTAAGATTCAGTGGTGGAAAAAGTCAGACGACTTTATCTCTGAACTCCAGACCGCTTTTAAAAAATCCTCCTCTGTCCTCTCCCCTCCGTCTCCTCTGTCTGTTTTTCATTTATTGTGGAGGAGGTGGCAGAGGGTCCATCAGTCATCCGACTTTTATGTTCATGCTGTAAGAGAAAAAAACAACTCGCAGCTTTAAATAGAGAGCTTTCAGTCAGCAGTTTTTTAGGCAGGGTGTATTGAATCTTTTTTTCCCCCCACAGTGTCTCTGTGTTTGCATTTTTATATACTGTGCACGCTGTAGCTGTGGAGACTGAGCTCTCACACGGAGATCAATAAGGTTGTTGTTTTTTCTGTGACAGTGCTGCCGAAGGGTTTTTCTCTAAGTCAGTTATTTTTATGAAAACACACCCAAAGAATTTTCAGTCAGTCTTGGTCTGTTTCTTCACAGAAAAGTTTTCCAAACAACCTTCACCTGTAAAATAAACCCTGTTTTCACAAGTTCTGAACATTAAGGACAGGAGGAAACTGTGAAAAGTGAGAACAAATCAGATCTCCTACTCGCTGCAGACAGAAACAAATCATCAATGAATAGGAAATAAGGCAGCACGGCATCAATTAGAGTAAGTACAACACAAGCAAAGATCTAGAGAGGAGGAAACAACATCAGGAAGTGCAAACAAACAGCTTTAAGTCTGACCGGACACACCGGTGCTGACAGGAAGTGACCAGAGGCAGAGCACAGGTGCTGACAGGAAGTGACCAGAGGCAGAGCACAGGTGCTGACAGGAAGTGACCAGAGGCAGAGCATGACATCAACAGCTGTTCTTGAGAGTTTTAATCAGCATCTAAACCATCCTAAATATCGTCATCATCATCGTCATCATTATTGTCATCATAATGTCCAAGCTGGGTCTTTAGCTGTTTCTTAAAGGTGCAAAGGGACTTTGCGGATCAAATGGAGTTTAGTGGTTCCACCACCAGAGGAGAAGAGTCTAGCTGCTTCTTTCTGCCTTAGCTGAAGTGTCCTTTTGTTACAGGAAAGAAATCAACTCATGGTAAAGAAAAAAATATGAGTTTAATGCGTTTTCCTTCAAGAAAATGTGCAGCAGTGAATAATTTAAAAAGTGCGAGCGCTTCATGTTTGGCTCCAACAACCACAAGGCAGCCTTAAGAGGTTGAGCCTCTGCCTGAGAGGCAAAATCCAGGACAAAAAAACTAACCTCAGACAGTATAAATAACTGTGTCTATGCCTTTATCATTTTGTCCTCCAACTTTGTTAAGAGTTCACCGAGATCCTGAGTGATTATATCAGACGGAAACATTCAGAGCAGAGAAGATGGAGGTATATGCTGCACAATGGTGCATGTATAAAGTAGTTTGGGGCTTAATTTGATGTGTAACAGTGTGCATCTGTCCTCGCAGGCTGTGCATCGCTGCATCTGTCTCTACTTTATAATGCTCAGTCACTAATTCCCTGGTAACACCTGGGTAAACAGCTTCAAGGGAAATTAAACAGGCTTAGTGAATAAGCACAGAGCGTTCATCCCTTCATCCCCGTGCCCTCCTCCCTCTGGAATGAAAAACAGGATAATATGTCTTTCTCCATAAAACCCGGCAGAATTTGGGTGGGAGGGAATGACCTTTGACACCATGAAAAAAAAACATGGTTTATATCACAAAAATGATGAATTCATGGTATTTTTTAAATTGAAGTCAGATAAATCATTCCGTTGGTTTTGACAGGCAGATTCATCTTTGCATTGGAAACAAGTTAAGCAGAAAATTAAGATGTCAGGTCATTCTCCCCCCCCCCCCAAAATCGCATAAGGTAGCATTTTGGTGAACAGCTCTAAATGGCTGGAGGTCTCAGCTCATCATGCCCAACAGATGTGCTGTTGTCGCCCCCTGCTGGCCGTCTCTAACTCTGCGTCCTCGTTTCAGATCAGCCCAGACGACTACAAGGACGGCTCCTTCGCCCAGCGCACAGAGGAGGCCGACATAGACGTAAGACAAGCACGGATAACGGTGAAAAACGATGGTAGCAAAAGACAGAGTTTAGTTCATGAGTGCGCGTGTTCGTGTGTTTTGTAGACTAAGCTGAGCAGACTGTGCGAGCAGGACAAGGCGGTAAGGATGCAGGAGGAGAAGCTGCAGCAGCTCCACAGAGAGAAGGTACGTCTGAAAGTGTGTGTTTGAAAGTTTCTGTGTGTGTGTGTGTACGATATGTATACGCATACACAAAATGTTGTCTTGTGTGTCCGTTGTGTTGCAGCACACTCTGGAGACGGCGCTGCTGTCGGCCAGTCAGGAGCTGAGCGAGCAGAGCGGCGCGGACGCTGCAGCCATGCAGAGTCTGGTCCAGCAGAGAGACGTGCTGCAGAACGGTCTGCTCAGCACCTGCAGGGAGATCACCAGAGTCAGCACTGTGAGCACACACACCGACACACGCCGACTCGTTTTGACTAGTCCTGCTTACATGTCGTCTTAATCTCGGCCTCTCTATTTTAAAAACCAGGACGTAGGACAGAGACAGTTAGCCCTTTCATAGCATCGAGCTCAAGCAACATAGGATACTCCTGTGTGTCCTCGCTCTTAGCTCTCTAAAGATTAAAGTGCATTTTTGTTTTTGTTGTTTTATTTTGAAGTCATAAGAGGGATTGAGTAAGTCTGAATAGATTTTTTTGGGAAGCAGACTTTTGGGCACACACACATTCACACATTCACTCAAGCCTCGTGCACACGGTCCCATGACCCTCCTGTTGGTGTGTGTTCTGGTGTCAGGAGTTGGAGCGCTCCTGGAGGGAGTACGACAGGTTGGGCGCAGACGTCACGCTGGCTAAATCCAACCTGCTGGAGCAGCTGGAGGCCCTGGGCAGCCCACAGGTAAGACACATAAAAAACCCACAACACACACATTCACAGACACTCTCCAGGGAGATCAAGCCCTTAACACTGTGTGTGTGTGTGTGTGCGTGCGCGTGCCCTCAGACGGAGCCTCCGAGCCAGCGGCACATCCAGATCCAGAAGGAGCTGTGGAGGATCCAGGACGTGATGGAGGCTCTGGCCAAAAACAAACCACAGCGCAGCACAGACAGCGGTGAGAGACTCCATAGACTCTTCAATAATATGCTGAGAAACTGTGGAGAGAATTTCAGGGACATTTATTGCTCAACAGATTTGCTGCTTCACTCCATTGTGGATCTAAAAAGCTCGGCTGTATCCGAGCTCATGACTAGAAGAAGAAAAAAAAAAAAAAGCTTTGTCAGGCGTCTCTTTGTTCTGGAAAACGTTTAACTCTCCCTGTTCTCGTGTTCTCGGCAGGTTTTCCTGGTTCCAAGCCGCTCTCCAGCCAACAGAAGAATGAGGTGAGAGCACACATGAATACTAACATCCGTACCTCGCTCACTCTGTGAAGTCTTAAACGTCCTCTCTGCAGAGCCAATGACTCTGATTCTGGCAGAGGGAACAACAGGAGTGTTCAGAGCAGAAGACAAAGACAAACTAAAGACACAGTGATGAGATCATTTGCATAATTTGTACATTTGTGACGGATGAATTTCTCAATTCAGGCGAGACATTTGAAGACTTTCCTGACGTTGCATCAGGGAGGGTTGATCAAACAGGAAACAGGCCTTGCTGAGATCTTTGCTTATCTTCTTACTGAACACTTTCTGTCCCGCACTAAACTGCAGAGACGCACAGTTTGCACCCTGACACGGTGCCGTTACGTGATTCAGACCAGCTGTTTTACCTGTCAACAGGCAGTGACGCTGCTGCCGCTCAGTCCCTTAAATGAGGGCGACAGCGTGCCCCCTCGCCCGCCCCTCCCTCAGTACTACGACTCTACAGAGCGCCCCCCTCACGTGCCCCCGCACCACCCACACCCTGGCGGCCGACTGACCCCTCACACGCACCGCCCCGAGGACCGTAAGGCCGGCTCCAGGAACGGAGCACACAGCGTAAGAACGCCTGAAAAGCTCCATGCCCACCTCCATGTCCGCCCCCCCCCCCCTCCCACCATCCAACCTCAGCATCAGAACGCTTACATTCATTTTCATCATTTCCACATCTCAACTCCATCCTGAAGGCTGAATTCATCTTGGCTGGCAGAGACTCATTCCTCAACAAGTCCCGTTTTTTGGATCCCTGTCATTTATCCCTGTGTGTGTGTGTGTGTGTGTGTGTGTGTGTGTGTGTGTGTGTGTGTGTGTGTGTGTGTGTGTGTGTGTGTGTGTGTGTGTGTGTGTGTGTGTGTGTGTGTGTGTGTGTGTGTGTGTGTGTGTGTGTGTGTGTGTGTGTGTGTGTGTGTGTGTTCTTTTTTTTCACTCCTGCGGTCCATCCTCCATCACCTGCAGAGTCACTTCCAGACCCAAACATGGATCCACTCATGAACTTCACTGTGAACAGAGTGATGTGGTTGGTGTGTGTGTGTGTTTGCATTTAAAGGTTTTTAATGCCACTAGGCCTGAAGTGAACTTTGTGTTGCTGTAAAGAATACTTTCAGAGAGGATCTGAGTAAACAAGAATTTCTCTACAACAATGTATTTGATGTTAAGAGCCATTTTTTGTCAAATCAAAGTCAAACGTCTCATCTCCAAGTCTTCAACTCCTCTCGTCAGTTTAAAAAAAAAAAAAAACTATTACATCCTGCCAAATGTCTTCCAAGAAATTTACAATTTTACCATTAGCTCTAACGGCCTGATGTCGGTAAAACATCAAAAATGTCAAAGTGTTGGGGCGCTGGTGGCGCAGTGGTTAGTGCACGCGCCCCATGTATGGAGGCTGTAGTCTTCCAAGCGGGCGGCCTGGGTTCAAATCGTCCCCACTCTCTGTCTCCCTGATTTCCAACTCTATACATTGTCCTATCTCTCAAATAAAGGCACAAAATGTCCAAAAAATGATTCTTAAAAAAAAGAATGTCAAGGTGCTTATCCATTACGTAGACTGGAGTGGCCAAGCTGGAGCACTGGGTGGCTTTAGGAAATTTGCAGAGTCACGACCCGGCTCTTAAGGCCTGACAAAAACAAGGTGAACGTACAGTTCAACTAAACTGTGCAAACGTTTATCAAACAAGAAACCAAAGATAACAATTTACAAAGAGAGTGAGGTGTGTTTGTCAGCGAGTCAGAGTGTCGGCTGTTGTGTGAGTGTGTGGTGTGAAACCAAACTAACATCGGCAATCTGCTTTGTCTTGACTTGAAAAATGTCTAAAGATAAGGAGGACGTATGAGAAGAGACTTCTGTGCGTTCCCTCTTGACTTCTCTTAACATTTTCTTAGATTTTACGATTTCCTTTCCTAATCTCTCTCAAAGATCCGATTTGTATTCTCGCTGCTTCCAAAGTTCTTCGACCTTTATTCTAAAACTTAAACCCTGAGAAGTTGACATTCATGGAGAAACAAAGTTTTCACCGAGCAGCAGCAGCAGCACAACAACACGTTCGTTCTTCGGTTATTTTAAGAAAAGGCTCAGGTGTTTGTGTACAGATCCTCCGAGGCAGACAAAGAAACTCCAACGAACTCTGCTCTATAAAAGTTTGTTTGTGTGTGTGTGTGTGTGTGCGTTTGTGTTTCTAAACAGTGTGTGTGTCCTCTCCCTCACAGCAAGCTCCAGACTACCGGCTGTACAAGAGCGAGCCGGAGCTGACCACGGTGAAGGAGGAGGTGGACGAGGCCAACGGGGAGGACAAGGACAAGACGGAGACGTCTGCAGAGGGTAAAGACCCCGCAGCTCCCAAAGGTACAAAGTCGGGACACAGGAAGTTAACTTAAAGAGGCGTTAGGAGTTAGAAGTTTGACGGGACTGCTGAGACCGGGCATCTTTGACTTCTTTGCACGACTACAGCTAGATTTCTGTCGGGATTTTTCCCAGCATCCTCCTGATGGAAGACGAAAACTCTGAGAAGTAGGATCTCTTTATCACAGACTTCAATTCAATCAGACTTCAGAGAGAAAAACTCCCCCTGCTGGCGTTGATTTATCGTTTGCAGGCAGTGAAAAGAATGTTAACGCATCAAACTGATTATTTAAAATGTCTAACTTGCTAAAAACAGCTCAGACGTCCCTCACTGTCCTCCTCGTTTCAACATGTTTCACTTCTTTTTGTGCCATCATGCACTACTTGAACATTTAGCCCGACTGCCGTGTTTGTTTGCTAATGTGCAAAGTGACAACAGCACCCCCGTTCCTCCCCCTCAGCTCCCCCCTACCCGGTGGGCATCATTCCTCCAAGGACCAAATCTCCCATGAGCCCTCCCGAGTCCTCCACCATCGCCTCCTACGTCACCCTGAGGAAGACCAAGAAGCCCGAATCCAGATCGGTAAGTTTGGCCCTTTGGCGTCAACACACATAACACAGCTTTGAATGAAAAGTGTGAGAATGCGCCTGAAGGAGAGCTGCTGTTTTTGTTGTTGTTGTTGTTGTTGTTGTTGTTTTTCTGTGTTTTTTATTTGCAGCGCTCTAGATTTGTCCCGCTGACAGGAATATATAAATCTGCATTTTCAATGACACGTCGTTTTATCTGACACATTCAGAGACGACGTGCTCGGCTCGAGGAAACATTTTTTATTCCCACATATCGCGTGTTTACAAGTGTTGCCTTCAGGTTCAAAGCCTCTCCGAGCTGAACGTCTCGTCGTGTGCTCTGAGTTGATTTAACGAGCAAACACGCCGTCGACTTTTTCATTTTTTTCCTGCAAGATATGAAAAGTACCTTTTATTTTCCTTTCAAGTGTCACTTTTTATTTAGCAGTTTTTGTGTCGGAGGTTTCTGCCCCAGTTAATGTTGACTCGCTGCTGCTTTGAGTTAAAGTAAATATACAAGACAGAAAAGTTTTTATAGCAGATTCTCTTTATGGATGTGACTGCAGGGAGACACAGACTCCGTCTTTTATCAGTAAAGGACTCTACGATGCTATACTGCAAAGAATAATTCCCTTTATGGCTTTACTTTATTTAAAGGTCCAATCAGTGAGATGTGTAGTGAGTGAACTGCTAAAGTGACCTGACTATATGATCAGACATTAAGGAAACATGCTATGTTGAAGTGCTGGCTTCTCTGACAACAATGCAGCAGTCAGTATGTCCTCCTTCTAACTTTAGATTCTGCTCCTGAATGCTCTGGATTTGTTTGGACCAGAGAAGGTAGACGGTTTTAAGGCACCCCCACACGGCTGTTTTGGACGCCCCTCGGTTTGTCAGATATGAGAGCAGTTATCAGGTCAAACCAACAGGTGTTGCAGCGATGGAAGCGGGCAAGAGAAGTGGTTCAGATAGAAGTGATTGTACCCGACCTAAAAAGCCTCTGCATGTTTCTAATAAGCTCCACGAGCAGAAACGTGCTCAAACTAGGATCAATATTGGAGATGCTTTTGAAAAATGGAGAGAGGTTAGAACGCAGAAAGGTTTACAGACCGATGCAGAGCTGGATAAACACTGAAGCTTCAGAGTCCACCACATGGCAACCTGTGTGAGCATGGACTCTAGAGAGGAGGGGGTGGGGGGAGACAGCTCTCTAATGTTTAGAATTTGGACTGCAGTACCCATTTTAACCACTAGGTGTCAGAGTTACATTTGATTTAAACCTGTAGATGTTGACTGAATAGTTTCATCTTCAGTTTGAGGAGTTTCAGCAGCGTGCAGGGATGTTACAGAGATCTTCTCTCGGCTTAATCTGCCACATAAAGGTTCGACATTTGAGTCTGTTGTAGCTGCAGAGAAAGCTTTGACAGATTTCCTCAAACACAGGATCTGATGTAACGTTTCCTCCTGGCTGTTCTACCCACATTACACCCACACTCATCCACATTACACCCACTCTGCGTCCACACAGCCGACATAAGATGCAGACAATCCAAAAGCTCAAATGTGCAGAAACGAGAAGACTTCAGGTTCCTCTCTTGACAGCTTCTTCATCACATGACGTTTAAGTGAAATGCAGGAGGGTTACATCTCTCTGATCCTCGTCCTGTGCAGGATCGGCCCAGGAGCGCCCTGGATCAGATGGGGTTCGGGGAGCGGGAGGTGGGCAGGACGAGGATGAGCGTGGAGGAGCAGCTGGAGAGGATGAGGAGGAACGCGGAGGCCTCGACGCTCCGGGAGAAGAGGAGAGAAACCCCGTCTCGATCGCCCTCCTTCAACAAAGACAACCCGTTCCTCACCCTGCAGGTGAAGTGTCTTCCAAAACGACCAACACTGGATCAAAGGCTCTCTTTTTCTTTAATAAGATCTTAATGAGTATCTTAAATACATTTCCTCTCTTTTAAAATCCCCCATTTTTTCTCCTTCACCATCTAAAGCCAACAACGTGAACATTATGATTCCTTCCAATCAACTGATACTTACACAGTGCCGTTACTATGGTGGCTGAGAGGGTCAAAACTATTTCCATAAGAAGAAACTGGCTGCACACTCTGAAACAAATGCAAAGACACGAACAGCTTGCAGAAGAAACTACGGTGGCCTACAGGGTCAATCCTGGGATCCCTAACCTCTTCCTGTTTCTGTGCTTAACTTCATGTCCTAACCTTCCATCTACCAGAAGCTCCTTACTGTATTTCAAAATAAAAGCACAGTTGAATTCAAATAGCAAACGAAGTAGTCTCAGCTTAAGACCGTTTCACATTTCAAAATAAAAGCCAAACTATTTTTATTTTTAAATGCAAAACAATTAAAAAAGTGATTATTGATTAGCTATTGAAATTTAGCGATTAATCATAGTTAAGGTAATTGTTTGGCAGCCAATATCAGTCATCAAATACAACTTCACCATATTTCCTCTCTTTGGACGTCACCTGTTTTGTCTGTGTCACTCTTTCACTTACAATTCCATCTTTAGATCTTTACAGAGAAATTTCCCAGGTACCATTACTACGGTGGCCCACAGGGTCAATCCTGCTGCGACCGCTCAAGCTATTCCCACAAGGAGAACCAAGCTGCAAATTTTGAAGCAAATACAAAAGTTCAAAACAGAACACATGAAACCCCTCAGAAATCCTCAAAGCATATGGACAGGTTTTCTGTTATTTCGTTTTCATGATCAATCAGTTTTAGGGCCTTGAAAACGTTTTTAATCTGACGTTCTTTTTCCAGAGTCTGTGTGTACAACAGTGTGTGTTCTCTGTGTTGTTTGTGCAGAGTCGGGCGCAGGTGGAGGGGGCTTGTGCGGACCCTGTGGAGCTGGAGGCGGCTCTGCAGCAGCTGAAGGTGTCTCACCTGGAGCGGAGCGGGGAAGCTGCGGAGGAGGCGGAGGAGACCAACACAGAACAAACATCACAGGTTTGTGAAGAGGGAGTTCATTTGAATGGTTTATATTCAGGTTACAAACAAATCCACGAGGCTGCAAACGTTTCTCTTCTGTTCATCGAATCGACAGAGGCGCTCTCTTTTAGACCATCTTTACTGTCATGGCGTCGTCACACATTAGAGAGGGTCGATTTGATCTATATTCCATTAAAAACAGACCATAAAGCTAGCTCTTATAGAGTCAAGGGAGGGAAACCTTTACATTTAAACATCAGAATGACCAAAAAATGGAGATTAATATATAAATGAATCTGAAGAATCAGGCTATTGCTTCTAGGCTATTGACGTCTTTGCCACTCAAATTAGAGCGAGCAATGGCATCATCCCGATCCCAAAACGTCTATCTTCGCACTTCTGCGCTTAATGGATACCTGCGTTAGCTTTTCAGGTTATAAGGTAAATTAGGATAAGAGATATCATCCAAGGTCGACCTACACTTCCTACGCACTTACACCCTTTAAGAAAGAGAGAGAGCAACTCAGAATACTTGACCATGAAGGCATGACCATGGGAAACAGTTGAGTAACTGGGATGTAAGATACAGCTGTTAGATTCATGCAGATACAACGAGCTCATGTAAAAAGATTAACTCATGTCAATCTTTAAGGATTTATGAAGCAGTAATTCGACTTTTTTATGACCTGATTCCAGCCTGTGCTTTTATTTTGAAAGGTGTTGAGCTTCTGATTAGATACAGTTTGTGTGATTTAACTCTTACATGTTGACGTCAGTGCATCCTCTACTGTTGTATAAAAAGCTCATATGTGTGTTTCTGACATTGACTGTGAACGCAGCTCCTCACATGGTTTCTATTTAACGGCCCTTAGGAGGTGCAGAGAGCGGAGGAGGTGAAAAATGAGGAGTGTGAGGAGGTGCAGCCGGACGAGGACGTGACCCTGCAGAGTGAGATGGAGCCGCAGGCGGAGACCAACAGCATCGATGACGAGGTGCTGAAACGGCGCAGCGCGGGGAACAGACGGACTCTTCATATTCTGTCAGTTTCATAAACATAATACCTCTCTCTGTGTGTGTGTGTGTGTGTGTGTGTGTGTGTGTGTGTGTGTGTGTGTGTGTGTGTGTGTGTGTGTGTGTGTGTGTGTGTGTGTGTTTGTGTTTCAGCGCTGTGAGAGCCAGAGGGTGGTGATCCTGGACCTGCACACGGAGCCCCGGCGTGTGGAGATCGTGAACTTTCAGCCCTTCGAGGATGACGAGAGCAGAGACCAAGACCTGACCAGCTCGCCGACAAACACGACCACCGAAAGCAGGTGTGTGTCCGTCACCTGCTCGACTCGTACCTGAAGTTATTAACAAACTGTGGTGACTGAAAACCCCCGAAACAAAATGGTGATCTTTTTTTTTTTTTTTAGAACAAACAGGTCATGGGAGTACTTTTAAATCTGTTTGCATTCACACAAAGAACGCTGAGGTGACATCGGCCTGCAGGTGAAAGGTTTCTGAACGCCAAACACAGGAAGTACAAGATGATGGGGGGAGTCGTATGCTTGTTGTGTGTCGTGGGGGGAAACCTACTCTGAAGAAAAGGGTTTTAAAATCTCTCTTAAGACCTCTGGAAACCCAAATCCACAAAAAGCTTTTAGCTCTATTTATTCTGATCTAATTTACTTTAAAATGAACTCTCTGAAAGTGTTGCCTTCCCACCGTTTTTTTGTGTTAAGTTTTGGAACGTTTATGGATGTTGGGTGTGAAGAGGTCGGGGTTGACATACTGGAAAAGGAGCCACAGGATGGACTCGAACCTGGGCTGCCTGCTTGAGGACTAAAGCCTCTAAATATTGGTCTCGACATAACCACTAGGCCATCTGCGTCCAAAGACACATTACATTTTGATATCACATTTGGATTTTTAATATTTCAAGTCAGGTGTCCACGGTCTCCTCGCACGTCTCTTTCTCATCCTTCATACTTCCGTCTCTTCTGTGACTCTTTCTCCGTCTCCTGATTGTAGCTTCCAGACTCCGGAGCCCGAGACGCCGAGCCCGGAGCCTCGAGAGGAGGAGACGAACGTGACGCAGCAAAACATCAGAGAGAAGATGGAGAAAAGTCTGGACTCCAACAACCAGCTGACAGCGGAGGACAAGAAACACAACAACAACAACAACAACATGTTGGCTGGTAGGTGGAGAACCTCACCTGTCACTGCTGAACTGACAGCTGTGGCCGTCAAAACTGAGACGGAATATTTACAAAACAGTGTCTGAAGAAACCCAACTTTTTATAAAAACATTTCAGTCAGCTCTGACATTATAAAACCTGTTTTAGAGAAACATTCATTCAAGACAGATGTTTGTCTCTGTTGAAGCAGAATGTGTACAAAATCCATCCATCCATTATCTTTACCCGCTTTTCCTGTTGTCGTGGGGGGCTGGAGCAGATCCCAGCTGTCATTGGACGAGAGGCGGGGCTACACCCTGAACTGTTCACCAGCCAATCACAGGGCTGACATATAGAGACAGACAACCAGCCACACTCACATTCACACCTACAGACGATTTAGAGTCACCAGTTTACCTAATGAGCATGTGTTTGGACTGTGGGAGGAAGCCGGAGTACCCGGAGAGAACCCACATATGCACGGGGAGAACATGCAGACTCCACACAGAGAGGCTCCTGTCAGACGGGGATTCAAACCCAGAACCTCCTCGCTGTGAGGGGACAGCGCTAACCACTGCACGGTGTAGCCCAATTAAACTAAATCTAAAATAATATAAATTATTATTATTTTTTTTTTTATGTTAAACATGATAAAAGCTTGTTGACTGACGTTTGTTCAGGTAAATCCTTGCTGCTCGCCTGCAGAGAGAATTCACCTCCCTGTCTCTTTTCACACGCACACATACACACACACCTCCCGAGGCTGAAGTGCGCCCTCACAGATGTGTTTGAAGTTTACTAAAGAGGAATCAGACTGTCAAGAGAACATGTTTGAACCCATCTCATTCTTTGTTTTTTCGACTCTTTGCTGAGAATAATTCCGTTATTTTGAACCCTGGCTGTGATTTGTTTTGAACTTTCTGGGTCTAAAAGACTCAAAGGTTTTTGGAAAAGCTCGAGTGGACGGCTCAAAATGTAACTCTGCCGGTCTGACAGAAAAGGATTACTTCAGAGGGAGAACATTTCAGTTGATAAAAAAAGATGCTTTCTTTTAACAGAAATAGTCCAACTCCACGTCCACGTGTAAAAGCCAACACAAGGTTCACCCTCGTTTTAGAACGAGCTTTATCCACTTGGTGTTTCACCTCACTGTGATTATATTTTCTCTTCTTTACTGCTACGTCCACATCCACTGTTATCATGAGTCTGAACAACATTCATTAGTTGAATTATATCCACTTCTAACTCACCTGCTGCGCTGTCATTAGCTGGAGAAAACACACCACGCTTTACTTTAGAGAAGTCTGTATTTTATTTTTGGAGTTGGCGGCGAGTCCTGAGGCTCGACGGCTTTAGAAGCACTGGTTTAAAGGATGTATATTTTGAGTATTAGCAGGCGATTAAACAGCTGACCCACATGAGAAGTCTTTGAGCCCTGCAGGTAAACACATAAAAGCATTACGGTGCAACAACAGGCTTCATTCATCAACTTCTAATAAAACCCTCTGATAGAGAGATTCTGACATTATCGCTGTTTTCTATTTTGCATGTGATTTTTAGTAAATCCCAGAATGTATACACACTCAAAAGCAAACATTAGCACATGTAAATGATGCCATGTTTGTGCACAAATTGCATTTCCTGTAAGCTTAACAAACACTGCCATCTAGTGGTAATTAATGGAACTGAAGTACCTTCAAAATTGGACTTTAGGATTACAGATATTCAGTTTTTTGTTTGTAGCCTGAGGCGAGCTTTAAGTGGCTATATGGCTTTTTTTTGCTTCATATATATTTATAGATATATATGTATATCTATATATATATATATATATATATATATAGATATATATATATATATATAGATAGATATATATATATATTCAGTTGCACACATTTAGGCGGTTTGTATCCTGTCCTGGAAAAATGTGTGAGCAGAGAAATGTTTATAAGATCTGATGTAGAATATTCTCATTGCATCAGAATGTTCTCTTTGAACCGTGCAACCTTTAGCTTTCTCTCAGCTCTATAAGATGATATGACCCCTCAAGCTTTGAAGGTGTTTTTTATTTTGCCTGTAAATAATTTAGAGAGCAAACCAGAGCTGTTCCTTTAAAAGTTGACTGTGAGCATGAATACTTAATGCACAAGAAGCTCCACACCTGCGGCAAAGACAAAAAACAGTGTGGTCTCTCACTTTCTCAAATTTGTACAATCCATCAAAAAGCTGGAACACAGTGCAGATTTCACAGCATTTAGGTTTTAAAGGTCACATATCCTCCTCCTCTTCAACCAGTGTAAATAAGTCTCAGAGCTCCTCAAAACATGTGTGTGAAGTTTCTTGTTCTAAATCCACTCTGGTCCTGTATTTCATCATGTTTATAAACCCCTCTATTTCAGTGTCTGTACCTTTAAATATGTAAATGAGCTGTGTCTGACCACGCCCCCTCTTTGAAAGGGCTTGGGTGTCTCTGGCTTTCTCGCCCTATTGTTTACAATGAGAAGGCAGACTCAGAGGGCAGAACAAACACCTAGCTGTGGGAGTGTCACCCACCTGGGGGAGGGGTTACTGCCCTTTGTGATGTCATGAAGGGAAAATCTCCAAACGGCCTGTTTGAGCACACATTTTCTGAAAAGTGGAGCAGGCAAAAGACAGAGAGGATGAACTTTTCTCATCATTGGGGGGTTTGTAGACAGACTAGAGACACATATAAGAGTTAGAGGAACATGAAGTGTGTTTTGTATATGTGACCTTGGAGGATATTTTAGTTTTATTCAACTTTCGGTCTAACAATCCAGTGAAGAACACACCCAAAAGAGTGGTAACAGTTAAGTATTTTGTATTACTATTGAATGTCTGACTCACTGTCCTTTAATCACTCTTCTTCTTCTTCTTCTTCTTCTTCTTCTTCTTCTTCTTCTTCTTCTTCTTCTTTACAGCACAGACGTTCACCTTGGTGAGCAGCGACACGTGAGCGATGCCGGCCGACCTCGACGTCCCTTAAAAGCCCAAATGTAGCCAGCCTGCACCGAGCATGCTCCATGGCTTCCTGCGTTTACAACAGAACTACTTTGATACTACTGTTACCATGCCCACAAGGAGACTGAGACCAAGAGGATGGCCGCCCCGAGAATCAGACTGAGCACTGAGACGGGCCGCCGTCACACCCTGACAGAGAGAGGCTGACGTACTGTACCTTTAGCTCCTGTTAGATCTATCCATTCTGTATGTCCCTGAGCTAAACAACGAGCCTATGGAGGCCTATCTGTCCCACAACATTTCTGTGTAGAAGAAGCATTGTGAAATGGTTTAGCTTTAAAATAAATAGCCCAAATACAATGTACATGTGCACTCCGTTAGCAAGAACGTTTTCAGAAAGAGGTCCAACATTCAGGAAAACAGTTTAAATTAGGGGATGGGTCTTCATTCCTGTTTCAGACACCTTTGTGTCTGTTTAGATAATCTAATTTAAGGAAAGGTTGTTTTTAGAGTTTTTAATTAAATCTGCTAATCGAGTTTTTAAAACAGATGAAGGATCGGAGCTGGAGATTAGCGCTGGCTTAGTTAGCTATTTTACAGCTGAGCTCTGGATTTGGATGCTAGTTTTGGTTAGCATGAAACAAAATGCTAGAAACAAAAACTTCTTACTGGGAAAATAACGGCTGACTCCTCAGTGTCCTTTAGTGCATCCTTACCGAACACTGAGCGAGATACTTATCGGAGCTCTGTGACAGGTAGCCCCGCCCTAACTCCTCCCCGTTTGAGGTCTCTTTGACTCTTAAGCGGGACAATAATTTACTAAACTAACATCACGCTGTGTTGAAGAAGACTTGAAACTAGAGTTTGACCCCCCCCGTGCCCACATTCTCCTGATTGGCCATCTCTTTGGCGCTGCAGGGCTGCTCTCCAGTGCTGGAGAAACTCTTCGTTTCATATCGGGGAACTATGGCGTGATTTGCAGAACAAGCCGTTTAGCGCCCTCTGCAGACTCATCCTGGGATTACTCCAAAATACGTTTACCTCATGATCTGAAACTTTGCCCACATTTAGTTAAATTCAGCATTGTGACACTACATGAGAGTGAAAATGAAGATCAGCCGATTAGGTCGACTCTAAATGAAATGTTTAGATGCATGTCCACGTTTAGTGATCACACGATCAGAGCTTCAAACGTGTCGTACTTTCTCAAACCATTTCACAATCTGTACGTTGGACTTGTTCCGTGGGCGATAGAGCTCCATAGAAATGTGTTTTTCTGACACATACACACACACACACCTGAATATACCGAACTTTTGCTAAGTATTAAAATCATCTTAACGTTATAATTGTTAGAGTATTCTACTGATCTCGAGGAGGGATATGAGCTGTTACCAGGTCGCTGGAGGAGGTGTACAGCTGTATATAGGAGCTGATGATGATGATGATGATGATGATGGGCTAAGCACCAAATCTCGACACACATGCAGTGCTTTACTTTAACCCCAAAGTGACCGCCGACGCTCTTGGTTTGTTTAACCTGCTCTGAGTTTGAGTCTGTGTGTTGGTTTGAGAGCGGAGGCGCCCTTATCGCTCTGTTTCCACATCCTTTGCAACATTACACTTCTTTGGATTTACATATATAAATATATAAAAAGTATATATATGAACATAAAGCATATTTTTACTTCAACAAGGTGCCACTTCATGCTGCTGTTTTTCTCTTTTTTTTGTTGGACGGACAGAACTCAGTATTTTGCGGAGGTTGTGAGTATTTATGTTGAGCACACACCACCACGGTATGTGAACGTTTTGTGTCTCTTTCTGTTTATTTCTCTCTCTCTCTTTGGTTTACACGACGGAGGAGGTCGACAGTGAAGACGCCGAGGACGGGACACAGATGAAGACATTTTTTAGCGTTAGACTCTTATGTCTTATGTGGTGAAGAGTCTGAGAATAGCACACGTACGAAGCAATAAGTCGGACTTTGGAGCTCCAGGACATTAAAAAAAAAAAAAAAAAGAGAAATTTAAAAGAGATGTATAAACTGTAAAAAAAAAAAAAGAGGAAGAGGAAGAAAAGAAGTTAAATCGAGATAACATAATTTATGTACACACTGAAAGAAGAGCAGATATTATAACTATAAGAGGTTATTATTAATATTATTAGGGTCGATATGCAAAAAGTTCATACCCCATCTGTTTTATATCATGTGAAATAAATGTTGATGTTCTTAAAGCGTGCGCGTCGCTGCATTTCTTTCTTTGTTGTTTGTCTGCAGGGGAAATACGATTTTGATTATAGGTGTAACGCTGCATTCAGGTGGCGTCGGAAAAAATCGGAGAAACAAGTTTCCAAGTTGGAAAATGCATGTTAATTGCCTGCTGAAGTCGGAACAATAAGAAGGAAAATGATTAGTTGCTCGACTTGACATCATGCATGTGAAATAAGATTTTGCTTTCAGGTTTAACGCTGCATTCATGCGGCGTCAGAAACATTGGAGAAACAAGTTTCCTTTTTTTTTAAAGATTTATTTTGGGGCTTTTTGTGCCTTTAATGGAGCGATAGGACAGTGGATAGAGTTCAAAATCAGGGAGAGAGAGAGAGAGTGGGGAATGACATGCGGGGAAAGGAGCCACAGGTGGGATTTGAACCTGGGCCGCCCACTTGGAGGACCATAGCCTCCATACATTGGGCGCGCACTAACCACTGCGCCACCAGCGTCCTGAGAAACAAGTTTCTGAGTCAGAAAATGCACCTGAATGCCTGCTCCAGTCGGAACAACTCGGGACTCAATAAGGGCCCCGGATTGCCGACTTGACGTCATATTCGTCATCAACATGGCGGGCAAAATATGTTTGGTTAATGTTAAGATACTGTTGCTCAAGTAACAGAGACATTCACACGTCGTCTTCTTAGCATGTACACTGTTAGTTGTTGACTTCCCAACTCGTTCACTGGGACAAGCCGAGGAGCACCTGAACACATCATTCTCTCTCACTTCTTTTTCTCTGTTTGTCTCAGGGCAAAGTACGGTGGCCGAGAGGTTGTAAAGGCTCGGCAACGTCTGAAACAAGAGAAATTATATTAAGAGAAAGGTGCAGCAGATTCAGAAAATGCTTTTAAAACGCTGTAAATGCATTGCTGTTGCGTTTGTTTTTGTAGTTTATTGCAAAGGAGTTCCAGGACATAAAAATCCTTCTCAGACACATCAGTCACATTTAGCTTAATGGCTAAATCTTTCCACTGTTTGTCATTATTACTGATTTTCTGTCTGTTCACATTTCTTTTTGTCAACATGTTAATTTATGGTGTAAAAACAGGCTTTTTTTGAATGGGTTCGTATGTGACTTCCTGTGCTTCTGTAACCAGCCTCTAGTGGACACTTGATGAACTGCAGGATTTTTGCATTCCAGCATTGCCTTAATTTTTCAACACTGGAGGTTGCTGCTGGGTTGGGAAGAAGAGAAAAAAACTAGTTAGATCAAAACAGCCGGAATAAACTTGTTATCACGCGAAAACCAGAGTGGTTAGGTCGAGATCTCGAGAAAACAAACAAACTGTACTTATTATGACGGAAAACTGAGTAAAATAAAATGTAGTCCTGTGGAAGTGTGTCTGCTTTGGGCCGTAGTTTCATAAATGAGACGGAGAAAGACGCTTTCCTTTCTGTAGCCTGTAGAAATATCATTTATGTTTAGTGTTTGTGTCTGCAAATTAAATTAACCATTTTTTACCATCTTATTAGCACAGTTAACATCCAGGGGTGCCCTACAGGGGAGGAAAGTTGGGACGAATCTCCGGCTCCTGCAAATCTGGGATGGGTTAACAGATCATAAATTCATGAATCTTACATAAATACAAATCTGCTACACGCTTAAAAACGGTCCCAATGCCAGAACTGATATAACATAGTTTAATTCATTATAGAGTTTCTAGTTTTCCTCGACTTCTTTAAAGCTGTTCAGTCGTTTTAAAACAAAATAACTCGCCTATAATGACTCGCTTAATGTCAGGAGTGATATAAAGATAGTGATCAGGTCACTTTCAGAGTATATAAAGGGCAGTTATTATTTATTTTAACTTTTTGTGTTCTTTTTTTTTTTTTTTACATTTGAGGGTGTGGTTTGTTGTGCATGGTCACTTTGGGCTGTGGTGGGGGGGCTTTTTGTGATCATCTTTCACGACGACCACTAGCAGCGCCCCTGCTCGTTCATCTAATTGACTGTGAGATGTAAGGCTGAGAGAAACCATTTAGTCTCATAATCGAATAATCTAATGAATACTTTCGATGTATCATGAACCATGAAAAGCGGGACTTATGGTCTACTGGTAAACAATGACAAAGGAGCTTAATGCACGTTTTTTTTCTGGCTGCAGCACAACAGGCCTTGGTTTCAATGCAACAAGTCGGTGAGTGATGTGAGTACGGTTCCTGGTCTCCTCAGACACCCAGAGAGAGTTCACGGAGCTTTCGTTCAGGAGGAGACCGGCCGCAGGAGTCGCGCAGGCTGAAGCCGCCTCACGGGAGCGGCGGGGCGCGCAGGAATATGCACCTTGCTGAGATAAAAAACGTGCCTTTTCAGCACTTTTTGAGTTGGATCATTTTTCTGTTTGTTCGAACACGTGGAGCTGAGAGGCCACAAAGCCGGAGATCGTCTATGTTGACGAAGATGGCTCACTCGTTAAGAAAGAAAAAAAAGTTCAAACTGCACCTCCTAGTGGTGATTTTGTTTAACCAACCTTAATATCTTTTCACCTGATATTGTGAAACCACTTTTAACTGTATCGCTTAAAAATCTTAATTTGTGGGGCGGAAAGGTGGTAAGTGCATGCAACCAAGGGCGGAGGCCTGGAGTCCTCCAGCTGGGCGATCCAAGTTCAAATCGACCTGTGGCACCTTTCCAGTATGTCGCTCTCTTTACTCTACATATGCCTGATTTCTGACACTATCCACTGTCCTAGCTCTACAATAAAGGCACAAAAAGCACCAAAATAAAATAAATGTATCTTCAAATTTCTTAAAATGTCGTCTGTAGCATGCATCCATATTTTTGTGAACTCTTTTTTGTCGTGATAAAGAATAATTCTTGTATGTTGCAAAAGCACAAAACAGAAATAGGCTTAATTACTCACATCAGTATGGGTGACGGCAGCATGGCATGTCATGGTCTGGCTTATTATCTCAGGAAAGTAAAGTTAAATAAAACATGTGGATACATGTTCACTTAGGGCAGTAGTTCCCAACATATTTTGGCTTGTCTAACTTCACAAAACTCCGGGGACTCCAGACATCCAAAACACAAACAGCTATTTGCTAAAACGAATAATTTATCAACCATGTGATCGCTTTTCTACTGTATTGCAAGTAAGCTCTCATTTTAGACCACTTTAATGATATTCCATGTAAAATTGTAGGCAGAGGCAGAAGAGCCCGGATGAGACTTTGTTTTTCTGTGCACAGCTAGGTGAGCTCGTTAACAAGGCTGGAAATGAATATTGGACACATGACTCAAGGATGAGATACAGACAGATATACTGCAAGTTTGTTTTAAGCATAGAACACTAAAATTAAACTGGATAACATCTCTGACTAACAGTGCTACAATGACCAACAATTCAGACTTTTTAAATGTATTCTCATATCTTTTCTCACACTTCTTTTGATACCGTGTTACACTCAAAGTTATGCTATTTCGGGTTTGAGTATTGAGTGAGCCATCCTCTCGAATAGACCAGCTCGTGTAGATGCAGAGCCTCGACGTCATGCAAACCCCCTGCTGTGTTTTACGCTTGAAGCGGAGAGTGTGAGTGGAGGAAGAAGGGCAGCCTGGGGCAACTTTTCGAGAGGAACAACACAAAAATAGCTTCTCGTGCTGCTCGGAAATGCCTCAAATAACGAGCGAAGGGGCCGAACAAGATTCCCAACCGACGTCCGATCAAAACGACACCGGTGAGACAGCAGAAACCGGCGAGGAGGGACAGGCCGTGCCGGACCCCAAACGGGAACCGGGCGACAACAACGAGAACAGAGAAGGAATGGACGCGAACAGTGGTCGTGGTGCTGCTGCGGCGGCGGCGGCGGCGGAGGAGGAGGACGGCGGGGACAACCCGTCTTCTGTTCCCCACACCGACAAAGAAACAGCGTTGCCGAGCGAAAACACGGACAAAGATGAGGGTGAACCCGGCTGTGAACTATCTGAACCGGGGAAAAGTCCCGTGCAGGGGAGTTTGGCGAGTAGCACTGATTCCGCACAAGAGGGCTCCCGGGTGCTGAAACAAGAACAAAGAGAGGGGGAGAGCGTGTCCTCCTCGCCGCCTGCCGACCGCACAAAGACCGCGGAGAAAGCCGAGCACGGCACCAAGAGGCGGGCCAGCGTGGAGCTCACCTCGTCGGATGGAGAGCCGCTGAGCCGGATGGATTCAGAGGACAGGTCTGTTTGATAAGAGAGCAGTGTGAGGAAGAGCACAGAGGCCTTACTCTGCTGCCTAACGGAGGGGGGGAGAGAGAGAGAGAGAGAGGTCACGACACGATGCCGGGTTCACTGTTTCACATCAAACTCCCTTAACTGGAAGACATTGTTTCCCACGAAACACGTTCGAGTCGTGCGACGTTCCACGAAAGTTAGCCAAACGACACGGCAGCGTTCTAGAACGTTCCTGAGTCCAATATAAGTGTTAAAACCCGTTCTGGAACGTAGAAGTAAAGGAACCGTTCTAGAACGTCCCCGTGTTTATCGAAGTTTTGAACATTCTAGAACGTTCAGTTTTAGTTACAATGTGGGAATTTCAGCATTACACATCGTGGAAACGTCCTCCTTTCTCCGGTTAACGTGAACAGAGGGGAGGGGGGGGGTCGTTTTGGTTCGTGGCAGCAGGGGGGTCCCTTGTGTTTAAGTGTGGCTCCTACGACAAGCAGCACATGGCAGCGTTCATCTGTTGTACTCGTTGATTTTCTTCTGCTCACACTTACTTTACGCCCTGGTCTTCAGTCAAAGCAGCTGTTTGTGACTGATGTGGAAATACGTGGTGTGTTATTATCAGTTTGTGCCGACATAACTCTCCTTAAAGGAGGTGATTGTGATCTCGTCTCACGTACAGACTGTGACTGTGTCAGGTTCAGGTGACTGTATTTTGTTGTGCTGCTGGTGAGACCGGGACACACAGATTACACAACAGATGTAACAGGAAACAAGAGATGATTAGAGAGAAGGCAAACTATTTCAAACCTACTAAAA